GAGCCAATTCTCGTTTGAGCCCACAAAGTTTACTTTGGTGTAAGGATTGCACTTTTCAAATCTTACACTTTTTTTAATATATTTTTTATTTTTTTAGATATATTAATAAAATAATTTACGACATTTAATGATACTTTGACTAAATAAAAGGTTATTAAAAGTTTAGTTTATTAAATTATAGATGTACAAATGGTCAACTTAAATAAGGTCCGTTTTATGTGAGCAGGATAGTAGTAAAGGGGTTAATAAGCCCTCAGTGTGGTGTGAGAAAGTTATCTTTTGTTCTAGTTTCCCACTAAATCACGGATTCCCTCCGTCTCTTTAATCGATACTAGAGAGCCAAAAAATACAAGACGAGTTACAATTACGACACATTATTTTTTATTTTAAGTGTGTTGACTTTAATTTTAAAAAAATACTCAGTATACAAAAATATTATCCTTCTAAACCGATTTTAATTAAAAAAAAACTTATATGTAATAATTTTTAGTATCCATTATATATTTATATCAACTATATTTTGATTGAACTCCTATTTAATAAAGTATTACTCTTGGTCCTACATATAAAAACTTAAATCTTAAAAATTAGTCTTTTTTTGTTTTCAACTGAAGCTCTATTGAATCTATCCGCCCTAATAATGCAAACCCACCCTAAATAAATAAAGAAAACAGGGGTTGGTCCTAACTTTTTTTATAAAAAATTCCAACGCTAATACTCCCTCCTTTTAAAAATCTTTAAGATATAAAACATAAACGAAGTTCAAAAATAAAAACCAGCCTCATTTATAAGTCCCTGATCTAAATAATTCCGAAAACAAATAATATAAAAATATTAAGACAGGCCTAATGGTCTAGCTTAAAACACATATCTCATTAAAATTTAATGCCTAACCCCAAACTATTAATTATAAGCTATTTAATGATCCCTCAAACCCAAATTTAAAATACAGCACATAATCATTCTATTTTTTATTTTTTCCATTTTTATCTCTCGATATCTTAATATAATGGAAAAACCCTATTATTTAAAAGTAATTTAAGAGACTTTTAGAAAACAAAAAAAAATATGTTTTAATATTCATTTTTAATTAATACTATAAATTACAATTTTTACTTAATTTGGCTTTGAAAGTAATAGGAAATAATTTGAAATAAATTAACTAATTTAACTTTTAATACTTATATAAATTAATATTTGTTAATAAATTTAATTAATAAGAAATTTAATTAAAATATTTTTTTTATTTAAAAAGGATATAAATATGAACATTTATAGAAAACACAAAGAGGATAAATTTAACAGTATAAAATAGCTAAGATGTCCAAATAGATAATCTTTTAATTAGGAAACCTTTTTTCCCCTGAAGCTTCTGGAGTATTGTTAGCCTCCAAAACTATGACAACTTAGGTATAATTTTTTTTTTCAGAGTCAAAATTGGGAACCACATGAGGCGGATTTTTTATATTTTTGTCATTTTTTCAATTTCAGAGAGTCGTTAAACGTGTGATGTTAGTAATATGAATTGCCAAAATAGTTCCCCATATGACCCATAGGAAACTGAATATAGAAGACCAAGTTCCAATAAGGCTTCCCAAGATCCGAGGCTAGATTAGGGAAAGTCGAAAAGCATGCAGTTGGAAACTGAAGTAATAATATATGGAGAAAGGAAAAATTGGACACAATATCGATGCTAATAGAAATGAATCATTCTATAATTTTATTCTTTTCAAATTCGACCAGCCACTCACTTCCTAGCCCCTCAATATTTTTCATATATTATATATTTCTATAATTTATTAGTAAGATCAAATGTAAAACTACATAGTATTGAGATTCTATAATATAATATCTCCAAAAATATCTCAATAAAATTGCTTCCAACTGGTCACTTAATTACAGAACTAAATTAAAGTGGTTCTCGGAACGTTTTCACAAAGTAACACAGTCACAGACATCTCGCTCTTATACAATTTACTTTTTTTTCATCTATAAATCGCAACACACGGATAAATAATACTAATAAAAGTTATTTCCCTCTATTGTCTGATCCTCAATGCAAATTGTGGTTGACGTGAGATTATATATAATATATATAACGGTACAGAGTCAGTTATTCAAAGGTAGCCTCCAAATCAAACTTCTCTTTTAATCCATCCCCCTATTGCATTTAAGTAGATAAATTATTTCTTCCTAGAAGGATATTGGACGAAGCATCTATACCTGTTTGCTATTAGTCTTTTTATATGCCACTTTTGTCTAAAACACCAGGGTTGTCACTTTTTTACCCAAATAATATTTTATTTGTATTAACTCCCTAGGATTTATTTCATATAATGGAATTCTAAAACTAAAACAATGGCAATGACTGAACTTTCCATTGAAGTAAAAATTGCATTTGTACCCGGTAAAAAATAAATTGGGTCCCAAAAATAAATTTGGTGTTCCGCTGTCTAATTAAGGTGCATTGTGAAAACTTACCTACTTTTTGTCATTTAAAAGTTATGATATTTTGCTATTCACCGACACAACGTTACATATAAAACCTTTATTAGTGCGTAAAAAACAAAAAACAAAAAACACTCCAAAATAATATAAAAATTTATACTCAAGTCCGATCAATTACCATATTTTTGTGTGAAAATTTTCGAAACGTTGATGATTTAAATAAATAAAATATTTTAGCGTCTATTATTAAAAAATATTATTTAAGATTTTGAACTGTATCATAGTAAAATTAAAATAAATTTCTACTAAAATTATAGAAATCACTTATAGCTAGATAGGTCTTAATATTAAAAAATAAGTAGCAAAAATAAGATTATATTTAGAAATTGACAGACCCCAAGAGTTGGGGTAAGTGACGTGCCCAGGTTACGTCTCTAGAAACCTAACCGAGTTTAAATCTTTGCAATAAAAAGATGTATATTATGGGCCGCAACACAAACCAACCCCAGCCAAAATGGTATTTGTAAGACAAACCCACACCTTCGCCTATTAAAAAGCTGGATAGTTATTTTCAGTATATGTTTTGTTCACGAGTGGATTATATGCCGAGGTACCAAATAAGCTAAAAGAAGAGATCGATGCTAAGAGGTTAATGAAGAAAAAAGAAAATAAGAAAAAACGGATATAAAACTAATTTAAGAGAGAGAGAATGAGAGGCTTACAGATATAGATAAGAAAAAAAAAATTAAAAATTTGTAAATCTATAATTATCTATATATAAATTTAAAGTTTTTTTGATATATATTTTGATTGACCAATTTAACTTATTTTTAATTAGTGATAATTTTTAAATCTAACTTAATCTAATCCAACTAAAGCTTAAAATTTTCTATAAAAAAATATAGAATATTGAATAAGGAGAACCTCGTTAAAGTTTTTTGTTTTTTTTGGGTTTCACACGCAAACACACACACACATATATATATATATATCTTTGATTAAAAAGTTCTTCACGTAGAGCAACAATATACAACAGAGGACAACTATTCATATGCCCTTATTTTCCTCACACAGCAAGGGGAAAGAACAGTATCTATCTATGTATTTCAGTTAATTACTGTTGAGCCAGATTCTCTGTACAGTCTTATAAAAATGACAGCAAATTTTGAATTTCAAACCATAAGTTTGAGATCTTTGCTTGGGATTCTCATGCTTACAACTACTTCAGAAGCAGGTAAGGACAATAGTTACTGGTTAGTGGCAGTACAATAGTCATTGTCTTTATAAGGATGGGGTCACATTACTTTACTGTTCATATATAGTACTGTAACACGAAAATGGAAAAAGTAGATGAAAGTTTCCGAGAGTTACATATGAAAATGAAAGGAAATCTATCATTTTCTTTTCTTTGTTTGGAAAGATTCCCAAAAAATAAAGAGGAAGGAAAATATAAAATGTTCGAGCAAGCATGATAATAAGCAAATTATGCGACATAACTTTGCATTGTTGGATTGGTAGTTGACTAATCATAATATATTTATTTGATAATTAAATGAATAATGTGGACATTAGTATAAGTTAGTTTAATAATGACAGGTCAACTAATAAGGTCTTTGTGGGAGTGGTATAAGCCATATGGGAAAGTTTTTGTCTAGATCCATGACCGCTCTATGGAGCAAATAAACGAAATTAAATTTTTTTTTTTAAAGTGTGTTGACTTTATTTTTTAAAAAAATATATAATTAAAAATACTCTCGTTTTAATAAAAAATTTTAATTTTATTAATTTAATTTATATATGAGACCATTTATTTGGTCTTAATAAATTTTTTTTTCCTGAGCTCTATTCTACAGCCTAAAAAGGGTTGCATCACTATCTCCTAATTATACTAAAAATAATAATATTATAGCTATCAAATAAAAATAATAATATTGGTGCAGCCACTATCTAAATATTTGTCAAATTTTTAGATCTACAAATAATAAATTATTTTTTCATTTTTATTCTTTATATATGAACCATAGTAATTAGTAAAAAAATGAAATTTTATATCTAATATTATAAAGTAGAGATAATATAATTAATTAACTTAATAATTTATTATAATTTAATTAAATTAAATAATTTTTTAAAGGAGATAAATTGACACAAGTATTTAAGAATAGAGCAAACTTTAAAATTTCCCCTGGCTGTTCCAAAACATGGTGGCAAGTGATTGCTGATGCAGTTCCATAGCAGAAAAAGCTCGAAAGGAGGCATGGGAAGGAAATGCGAGAAAATATATAGAAAAACTTGGCCATGTGCTAAAGAACCATTCTTCAACGCAGCCCTCCTGCCATTATTATCTATGTAATGACTAATAATCTCAAATCTCATCTTCCAATGCAATAAATTAGTTGACATTGTCACACAGCCCTTCTTCTTTTCCATTTTGACACGTATCAATTTCCTCTCTGATCATCTGGGTAGCGTCAGGTGCTCCACAACTCCTTATCTCCATTGCTTCGAGGTATGGATCTTCTTTTTTTCTTTGCTTCAACCTTTCTTTTTTCTTATTTTTGTCGGTTGAAAGTTACAATGCAATGCACTCCTTGGACATTTGTACGAAAATGGGCAATATTGTTCAGTAGTCATTTGACCTACTTTTTCATTAATTGTTTCCTTTCAATCTATCCATCAACAAAAAAAACCAAATTAATTATCCATTCGTCACATTTGAATTCAATTTTTAAATTGGTCTAATTTAGATTTGACTGCATTCAGATTAAAATCTCAAATTAGACCTTAGCGAGGTCTAGCAAAGAGATAACAGTGGTAGGTGCCCTAGCTTAGACACGTTTACCTAAAAATTTTTGCCCACACCGGCAGGGAAAACCCCATTAATTGGTAGTTTGGCGGTGGTTGGCAAGTAAGTCTCTGTATGGAAAATAGAGGAAGTAATGGAAAACGTAGCAGTAGCACCATCTTCAACTCGATTGATCCTCCATTTTTGGTTCTTTGTATTATAGTGAGCCGCCGGGTCCCACTTTTCTCGGAAATTGCTTCAAATTTTCAAAATTGAAACAGACTGAGATCGGACCATCCTCTCCCTCTCGCCCCTTCTCACTGCAATTATTGACCGGTCCCAATTTCCTGAGATTTAAATCGCGCCCATTAATTACGCGGGACAAGGCTGTTTTAATGGCGATGTTTTGCGTGTACCGAAGCCCACGTGGCTCCATAGAAATAAACCAAGTACATATCACGTGATGACATGACAACATGGATTAATACTTGGTTCACTCTTTCATATTAAGACTCGCTCTTATATCAGTATGTTTCGCATTATAGTTTGTTTTATAAATTTATTTTTAGCTTTTGTTCGTATAAGACTATTTTTTTTAGAGAATGATAAATAACTATGTAAAATATTTAATTTTCATCGTTTGTGGAATAAGAGAAAATTAATCATTTCTAATGCTCTCTTTTCTATTTATTTCAAACAAAGTATTAGTGTTAATTAAATTAAATAGTGAGTATTTGTATAATTAATTTTAATATTCTTAACCAATAAACATCGGAATAGATAATTCGAAAACCAAAATTCAATCCTTATAGGTGAAGTAAATATATTTAATCATAGAATTTTATCTCTTAATGATTTGCTTTGATGCAAGCAGATCACCGATAAGATTAATTAAGATAGAAGGTATGTAATCACATTTTGTAGAGGTGGATGACTAAATCTGACATTTCATTCGGAATTTGGGACCAACATCAAACACAATTGCAATTAGTCAATAATTTAATAATCTCCATTGATGAATATACGTCATTTGTTCTTTTATATTATAATAAGATCTTTGTTGATTTGATTAAATTATTTTTTTATTTTACATCGCTAATTTGACTAAATATAATTTTCGAAAATTATAAAAATAATCAACGTATTTTGTTAGCAACACGTGGTCAGGATGGCAGACACATTCAATTCGATTGGATTGGCCGGTTATCTACTTATCTGATAATACGACTGAAATTAGCACGTGGATTCACTATATTGCAAAAATACTGTGAGGTAGCACGGTACTGCCTTAATCCCGTGACTTTAATAAAATTTTATAAATTCATTATTATAATATCACACTAAAACTTATGAATATAACATTATATTTTTGGTTTTGTGAACACTTTGAACTGTCCATTGAAAAGCAAATTACCCATTTAAATGAATTTTAGAGTAATGCTACATAAATTATAAGAAATTTTTTAAAATTAATTATTCGGCAGAAAAATGAAGTCCATAATCTATCAGTTAAGTAGAATAGTAAATATTGACACTAAAATAAAATTTTTTAAATTCTATATCATAAAAACCTTTCTTAAAATAAAATTTTAACTTTCATTATTTCAATCTTTTTTGGCAAATTTGTCGGTGATATATATCCATTTTCACTAATTCAACTATCTTGGATAATTTATATACACCAATTTTATATTCTTTAAAGAAGAAAATAATTTCAGAAAATAAATCAAGTTATTTCCTTTTCTTTTTGAACCCTTGAGAATGCCTTCCCAGTCTAGTGGTCCAAATAAATACTAGTAGTTGAAAATTTGTCATAATATACTCTTCAAAGCAAATTGTAAACCAAAAAAAACTAGCGAAAACAGGAAAAAAAAAAATTTGTTACTTGCCGTGCATTAAATAGATCCAACGGCCACCGAATTAAACATGAAAGCAGGGTTATAACGACGTCGTAATATGCACACTGGGGACCCACTTTCTCTTATTGAGTTCTATATAAACAGCAAGCTCTTGCACCTTCATGCTCACACTCAATCCTTTCCGAAACTAGAAGAAGAAAGCTTGTCTTTGAATACTTATCATTCATCAACAATGGCAGGTCTTAAGTTACTTAGCATTTTGGTTCTCTGCATGTTTGTCGCTGCGCCTATAACAGAGGCCATAACATGTGGACAAGTGAGCGGTGCCCTGGCTCCATGCATTAACTACCTGAGAACAGCAGGTGCCAAAGCTCCACCGCCGAATTGCTGCAATGGAGTGAGAAGCATCAACTCTGCTGCAAAATCGACCCCTGACCGCCAACAAGCATGTCAGTGCTTGAAACAAGCAGCAGCAAGCGTCTCTGGTATCATCCCTACGAACGCTGAGGCTCTTCCTGGTGCTTGCAGCGTCAACATTCCTTACAAGATCAGCCTCTCCACTAACTGCAACAAGTAAGTAGTTCTTTCTGCTTTCATTTCTTCTTTTTCTTCCTTGATTAATTTAAACAATTAATTGTCAATATATATTTGTGTTGCAGTGTCAGGTGAGTTATACATGGAGCAGAGTTCGATTTTCAGGCCTGGAGATCAGGTAGCGTAAGAAGAATAAGAGGGAGAGAGAGGATAATGGTGTCTCCACTTTAGCGAGTCTCCGTTTCTCTTTAATTACTACTGTTTTCTCTGTATGTTTTTGTTGTAATTTTTACTATTTGGTGTTTGCGTCTTTGGGTCTATTGTACTGTCTGTGTTATTAATGATATCTATCTACGTTTCTGATAAGATTTCTATTTTCTTTCACAGTTTCTTGGGTTTTCTTCTTTATTAATGTTCATTAAAGGCTTAATGTTGGTTAAAGGCTCCGTGAGATTAGCTGTTTTGATAGCTATTAGTTAAAAGTTAAATGCTATTTGAATTAATTTTTTAAAAAAAGCTATTAAAATTTAATTAAAATATTATATTATTGAATATAATAAAAAAATAGCATAAATTAAAACGTGAAAAGTTAATTTAAAAAACAATTGTCAAATAAAATATAAGTAATTACAGCTTTTTATTGTAATGACTTTTTACATTTACAGAAAAAATAAAAGTATATTTACTTTTCACACTCCCCTCGAGTGGAGCATACGAGTCTTTTGTGCTGAACTTGGTAAAAAAAGATTTTGAGTTGTGCTGGATGTAGAGTTTTTGAATAGATGTGCAATTTATTATTCTGCTCTAACATATTTTGTCATCATAGTTCAATTAAGGATCTTTCCTCTTAGGAGATGACAATCAATTATTATATCTTAGTTATTTCATGAAAGAGAAATTTTCTAGAAGTGTGCACAGCAAAAATATTATCACAGATAATAAAACGTGCCCTTCATTTGAAATTCTGAAATCTTGCAATAAGCTCTATCACCACACAATTTCACGACAGACCAACACAACAATATATATCGATTCAATTAATTGTAAAAAAAATTGGATCAAACCAAAATTAAAAACTAAAATTCTTTAAAATCATATATGACATCGAATCAAACTAATTATTTTGAATAACTAAACAGAAAAACTAACTCTATGTTTGTATTATATTATTTTTTTGAAGGAAGGAAAATAAAATACTTAGAAAAATATTTTTTTTTTCCTTACTTGGAAAAGGAAAGGAAAATAGTGAAGAAAATAATATTTTATTTATTTTCTATAGAGGTCTACATGTTTTGAATCTCTTCAATTTGGAGAGAAAATAACGAAGAAAATTGAGAATTTCACTCATTTTTATTAAATTATCCAAATGTTTCAATTAATTAATAAATTTTAACTATTTTTTAAATACTTCTTATTTAAATGAAGCCATAATTGTCAATTTTCAATAATAATATTTTTTTTCTAAAATTTACCCTTTCCTAGCGAAGAATCACAAATTTATTTCATTTCATTTATTATATCCAAACACAGAAGTGGAAAATAACCATAAAAGAAAGTCGACAATTATTCATTATTTTTCTATATTAATTTTTTTCCTCTAATATTTTCCTTTCCCTCCCTTCCCAAACAAAGGAAAATCAAATTAATTTGGTTCATTTTTCGCTTAAAACCATTCAATCATGGCCCATAATTAAACATAGAACCGACATTCACTATATCATGTGGACTTGTTCACAGGCCCAAGGCTTTCTCTCAAGTGGCCCAACCCATGCAGATCTTTTGCTGCATTTTGGACATATTTGTCGTTTACACGAGGAAATTTTATATCAAACAAAAGAGGCATGTTAATGATGGAGTTAAATCAAGACAGTGACACTTTCTACTTCTCACTGCTAATAATGTAAAGAAATACCTACCAGCACCACACCAGCAGTTGTCTATTTCATGGCGGTGAGAGCAGCCAAAGGAGGTGCACGGGCTGCAAATTAAGGTATAACATCTCTATACCTCAAAGGCTAAAGCATTAAACCACCGTAGGAGGTCTTGTATTGTTGCTGCTCTCTCCATCAACTGTGATTGTCTCATGGCCAGTCTTCCACTTGGGATAATGGAATTGAAAGACAACAACTATGGTGCCTATAGTTTAATGCTGACGTGATGCTATCGTTGTATATGGAACGTTATGTTTTAACATTATCTCATAGATCGTCCTAAGTTTCTGCTTTTGCGCCAATTTACTATCCCAGGTAAACGACAATATCCAGATTACTTTAATAGGAATTCGTAATCTTGCAGCTTTGATGAGTTTAAAATTGTTATTGAGTAAAATTTTGTTGGCATTAACTAATTTTGGGACTTCAGGAAGTGCTAAGTTGGATTAAAGTAAGAAATCTGTCAAATGTTATTATAAAGACAGATGCTCAGAGTCAGGAGGTTCTGAAAGGAATATGTCATCCTTCTCACCTACAAACTGAATGATATCTTCTTTTGGAAGATTGTAATGCTTTTGTTGTTTAATGTAACTAGTTCACCCTTAATTGGGCGAGGAGACAAGCGAATAAAGTTATTCATACTCTGGCTAGTGTAATTTATTCGTATATATGTTAGTTTCCAAGTCTAGCACGGGAGATCTAGACTTCAGAATTTGGAGAATCAAAATAAATTCTCAAAAATAAAGGGGACAAAGTGAGAAGAAAAATTTTTGACAAATATTTATAAAGAAAAAGTAAAAGAAAAAATTTGGAGTTTAATTAGGGGCCCAGGCTCTCTGGTCACCTTCCTTCCGCCCTTGAAATTTGATGAGCTTCATATATAGAATGTTTAGTTATGGACAGAGATATGTTCCAATTAATGCAATGAGATTAAATCCTTGATCTGTATAATTTTAAGGGCATATATATGTTGTCCCACATCAACATCAATATTATTTTTAATAACAATCCTTAAACTATTGAATAAAATTGAAACTAGATTTATAATTGAGGACGAAAATACTCGTACTCATCCATTGGACCAACCCTATTGAATGTAGTATAAGGAAAACCTTATTTTATCATTAATAAGCTACCTAGCTAGATACAACTTTTCCCTTCATTAAGTTTTTAACTCCTGAATTTGCAAATGAGTGTACGTTCATTCAGAATTTACTTCATATTGGATCTACTATTTCCATAACCAAATTAACTACAGCATTTATAGTTCACAACTAAGTTCCGCCATACCTCTTAATAAGCTCAACCACCAAGTAGTAATTCCTAACTCCCCATCTGTTCCAAGATTTTCCATAAATAGACACCAAATCTAAGCACTCCACCACCCACACTTGTTTTCTGCTAGCTATAGATCACTAAGAGTAGTCAAGAATCATGGCAAGTGTTAAGCTAGTTATGATTGTAAGCCTGGCGGTGATGATGATGTTTGCTCCAATGGCAGCAAGAGCAGCAATAACATGTGGAGATGTAGTAAGAGAGCTGACTCCATGCGTGGGCTATTTGCAGAGTGGTGGGCAAGTTCCTGGCAATTGCTGCAACGGCATTAGAACACTTTATAATGCTGCTCAGACCACACCTGATCGCCAAGCCGTTTGCCAGTGCTTGGAATCTGCTGTTAGTAATTTCCGCTACTCCAGCTATAACCTTGGCCTCGCTCAGAGTCTTCCTGCTAAATGCAATGTCAATATTCCTTACAAGATCGACCCCTCCACCAACTGCAAGAAGTATTATCCGATTCAACACTATTATTAACTTTTTTTTAATATTATTAGTTAGGCTTTCATGTTCATCAATCTTGATTATAACTGATGGTTTTTGTTTTGTTGCAGCGTTAAGTGAAGATGATATAGATGATCTTGCAGCATCGAAGCTACTGGTGTATGTAGACGGAGAATAATGAAGGCTTCCATAGTCTATCTTGAGGAAGTCTCAGTGTTTGTCTGTAGTGGGCTATAGTCTACTATTTTGTACGACATTATCGACTTGATGTGTAGGATATGAGAAGATGAAGTTGTTTTGTGTGCTATCTAACTTCTCGTATTATATAAAAGCTACCTATCAAATCTGTAAGGTCTTAGGCCCTTAATAATATTAAGTTATTTCCTTTAAAAAAAAAAAGTTGTAGCATGCTTTTTCTTTAGAGTCCATGTTTGGGTGAAGATCAAATATGTGGGAAAGAAAATAATTTTAAAAAAAAAAAATGTAAAAGAATATCATTTCCTTTTGATTGAGAAGAAAGAAAAATGAGGAAATTTAATTAAAAAAAAGGTATAAGAATTTATTAAAAGAGGAAAAATAATTTTATTTTTTTCTTATATTTAAAAATGAAGAAGAAAATTAATTATTTTATTTTCCTTATTTTTCTTCCCTATTTCCTTTCCTTCGTGCTCCCCGACTTCTTTGCCTGCTCATTTGGCAATGACTAATGAGCAATGTTATATGACGTCAACATTCTGCAGTCCATGTGATAAACATATGAATAACGTTATCAACCACTGTATCTAGTAATTAAACCGCCATTAAAAAAACCAGTAATTAACGAGAGAGACTGAGACATGTGTACATGCTGTTTTTTTTTACTCATGCGGATACAGAAAATTTTATATTTCATGCACCCGATCATGGATCAAACTGATGAAATTAAAATTTATTATTGAAATGATAATATTTTTTATCATATATTAAAAAAAAGATTGAAATATTTTTTATAAAAAATTTACTGTCATTTGTTTATCAATAAGCTGACTATAGATCCGATCCAGATAAATAATTTCCGATAATAAATATTATGTTCATTTTATGCAATTATTTTATATAATTATTATTTGAAATTTAGCGATGGGTTGTTGACACATGGGGCCATGGGCTGAACCACAACCCCCAAACCATTATGTAGGATTGGGCCTATTTATCCTCAACTTTATCCTCAGCTGTTTATTTATTAATTAATATATTACGGCTTCAGTTGTTTTTACAAATGAAACAATTTTCAATATTTAAAAAAAAAAAAAAAACATTTATACAAAGTAGAGAGTAAACCCCAAAATCAAATTAAGGAAATTCTAATGATGATGATTATGAGTTCACACCTTAGCGAAGCATGAAATTAGGGTTTCGCAATATTGAATTTGGTTACTCAAACAATCTAATCTAATCTACTTCACTCTATTCCATTTGGTATTTGGAAAAATGCATGACAATATTTGTTCTAACCGCCATTGTCTTTTTCCTTCTTTGTTCCTAAATTACAGTCAATAATTATAAATCTATGGACGGTATAAACTAAACCCACAACAAACTAATTGGACGACGTGTCCTCGATCATCACCTAACTCAGGTTGTCTGGAATCTCTGATCTCAGTGGACCACCGGTCACATATGTTTCCAAAACATACCACAGTGTCTGGTTTGGTTTCTCCCATGTTTGAAGCGAATCTCATTTTCTCTCTCACAATTTCTTTCTTGTCTTAATTTGGCTAGTGCTTAACTAATTTATAATACTGAATAGCTATTGCTGTTTATATCTATATACAATTAGCAATTAACGCAATTGGCACATAAACCGAGTTTTGATTTGAGCCACTCCACCGTTTGCCGCCGTCGTTGGCTTCTTCTTGCATGGCCAAAGATAAGCTTTGAATTTTCAAGGGACGAAAAAGGGTTGAGAGAGGATTTCATGCTTATCGAAAATTTTGAAACTGAGAAATTAATTTCGAGGAAACAGAAATTAAAGACGTTGGCATCGAGGCATAAAATATCTGCGTACAGGTATGACTAGGCTTCAAAAATATCTATGGATCCGTATGGAACTTCACAGATCTCTGTCGTGAAAAGATTGAACAATTCCACCTTCTTGTTTTAGATAGTGCGGATAGGAAATTAAAAGAAAATTGTTATTGCCAAATTTGGGACTAGTAGGTATCTTCATTTGATGGAACACTATGATTGGGTGCATATATTTTTGGAGGGACAAAAATGGAATAAAGTTCAATTTAACCCGAATTTGCTTAGCAAAATTAAAAAGGTTGTATTTGTACTTTGACACTAATTTAACTCTTAAATTTATTTAAAATAATTAAGAAAACCAAATTTATCATTTTGAAGGTCAAGTATGACCATTTTGACCCATTAAACAAGTTCAATGTTCAAATTTATTTCAAGAATAATTATGTAAAATATACAGGAAAAGATGCAACATCTCACTTTTTTTAACAACTGTTACATGTTTTGAATCTCTCTAATTCGATAAGAAATAATTCATAAAATATAACTTTTTTTTATTTTTGATATACAGGAGGCCTGATCACTTATTTTTTATTAAATTATCAAAAATACTCAATTATTTAAATGAAACCATAATTATCAATGTTATGATAACATTTCCTTTCCTTTCCAAACTAACAAAAATAAATTTATTTTATCTTTTTCATTATATTCAAATACAAAGATAAAAAATAACTATAAAAAAGAAAATATAATCTTTATTATATTTTTATTGTTATTTTCCTTCCTCTCCTTCTCAAAACTATTTTGGCTGTCTGATTATTAAAAGATTAAGAAAAGTGAAAGGAAGACAACTAAGCAGCCTATGCATATCAATTGAAGACAAGAACAGTGGCTAATCTCGTAACTAGATTTTCTTTCTCCTTTTTCTTTTAGAAATGTATATTCTTTATCTTTTTGTTTTTGGAACCCATCATCATATCACTGATTTGCAGTGTTTTGATTTTTTTTTTTTTTTCTTCCTCTCAATCTCGAAAAAGATTATTTTAAAGATTTATCATCTTTTGTGCAGCTCTTAAGAGTGACATTCATAAAAATATTAATCATTCAATAATTTTAGATTAAGATATAAGTATTGTTATCCATGAGAGCAAACATTGAAAACAGATTATTTATATAACAAACTCCAACTAGTTTGTTACAGGCTCAACTGTTATCTGTATCTATAAAATATAAGGACTAAATTGTTAATTTGAAAAAATTTCAGGTACTGAATAATAATTATCTAAAATGATGCCAAAAGTGACAAGTGAACAAATAGGATGTTGGCAACAAAACTCCCACTATCCTCGATGTAAGTTGCTATTGGTCCAACCCACGCTGGATTTACAAACTGGGTAGTTAAGTATTAGGTCTAACATTTGGTACTAAGTTTTTCTTTTTGAAACCTATGAAATAAAGTAGTTAATCATATGATTAAGTAGGCAAATTTCGTTTTGGTTACGAATGTTAATATTTTAATTACACCACAGTAAGCCTTTGCATACAAATGTTGGAGTTGTCAAAGGTTAATTCATATAATATAGATTTCAGATTTCAGTAACCCCTTTTTCTTTTTGGTAGAAAGATTTCAGTAACTTCTTTTTTTTTTTTTTTTTTTTTTTTTTTTCAGTAACCCCTTTTTCTTTTGGTAGCAAAAGATTTCAGTAACTTCTTTTTTTTTTTTTTTTTTTTTTTTAAAGATTTTTACTAACAGACGTATTGTTTGGAAAGTAGAATATTTAGTTTTTTTTTTTTTTTTTTTTTTTTTTAAAGATTTTACTAACCTTTTGTTTGGAAAGTAGAATATTTCAGGAGGAAAGGAAATACGTGAAGAAGATTATTATCAATAAAATATGTTGAAAAAATATTAATTAAAAGGTGGGGAAAATATCCAAGGAAACAAATTATATACTATTTTTCTCATTGGTCTATAAAATTATAATATTTTCAGATAGAAAAATTATATTTTTCATGCAAAAACTATTTCATTATTTTGTTTTCTTTCATCTTTGTGTAATATCTATAGGAATGAATCGAATTATATATTGAAAAGGAAAAACTAATCAATAGGTGCATTTTTTGGTGAAATTGTTTAAAGAGTTGGAAGAATTTCAAAGTTAAGCATGATTGCTTAACGGAACTCCTAAGATGGGTGACCACCTATTTTGTTTTCTAAAGAAATATAATATATAAAATCTAAAAAAAGAATAAATGATTGGTTTTAAAAGGTATTTAACAAAAAAAGATTAAGTGCCTCGCGTTTCATTGTGTATAAAAAATTATGTGATTTAATTTATAATTTTGTTCCTTAATAAAATATAAAGAACATAGTGACACTCAAATCCCATAAATCCAAACCAACTCTAATATAATAAAACATAAATTCTCTCTGTCACAACTAAATAAAACATAGTGCCAATAGCGATGAAGAGAGCAAGTAGGAGTAAGTTGAAACATCTAAATTAAAATTCTCTGAATATCCAAAAAATAATATTAATCTTAAAACCCTTTTTCTAACTTTTTAAAGTATCTTGTAATTTTTATATTTCCCCTTCTGTCTTGACCCCTACAAAGAAGACATAACATCCCCTTGATATAAGCTAAAGCCCTTCACTGCAAGTTTTCTCTGCAAATACTTTAAAAGCTGATAAACAAGTTTGCTTTATTCGCTTTGTTTGGGTTCTACGGAGAAATTATCTGATGAAAAGAGAAGACAATATCTGATGAAGAAGGTGGAATAATCTTTTTTGCAGAGAAAACGGTCCCCCAATTTCTTTCTAACAGCCACTAAGAGCAACAATTTACCGTTTCTTTTCGTTTGCTTGCCTTTTCCCCTTATCTTAGAGACAAAGAAGATGCTCTTTTCATATATTTTTGTAGCTGGAATCTTTACAACATTGCTCTAAGGAAAAACCCTTAAACCCAAAAATCAAGATAAATTCGTAAGCAGTTTGTTAGATATGGTGAGTTTGCATCGCCGACTTCTTGAAACAGAGTTCTCTGTGCCGGTGCCACCGCCAAATGGGAACAGGACGCGCGAAATCTATAATGAGTCGAACTTCGACGCCAACATGGTTATCATATTGGCTGCTTTGCTATGTGCTTTGATAGGTGCGTTAGGGTTGAATTCAATTGTGCGTTGCGCGTTGCGATGTACTCGCAGATTTGCTACGGAAACGCCAGAGCAAGCCGCAGCTCGTTTGGCTGCTACTGGACTCAAGAAACGCGATCTGAAACAGATTCCTGTTGCGATTTACGGCACTGGAATGAATATTCCGGCGACGGAGTGCCCTATTTGCTTAGGAGATTTTGCTAATGGGGAAAAAGTTCGAGTGCTTCCTAAATGTAATCATGGTTTCCATGTGAGGTGTATAGACACTTGGCTTTTGTCACACTCCTCTTGCCCTAATTGCCGGCTTTCATTGCTCGAACACACGGCTGCTGGTTCAGCTGCAGCTCAGGAACCCACAGCGGAGAATGATGACGGCCGCCGAGGTAATGTTGTTGTTATTGTTGAGGGAGGAAGTTAATGATTGTTGCTGTAAAATGTTAAAAAGTTAGATATCTCTGTTCTAGATTTAGTCACTAGTGACCTTTTGTAGTGGTGAAAATTTTTATGGGCCAAATTGCAATTTTAGGACAGTTTTTATTTTGGACGTATGAAAGTAATTTGTAATACTGGGTTATCTTAATACTAGATAATAATAAATTATGCATTTCCCCTTATGTAATTTTTTAGTTTGAATTTAATTATTAATTTAAAAAACGTGTTTCGGAAAAAAGGTTAATATTCAAATAAATTTAGTTATCTTAACAATAACCATTTTAATAGTAGTCCTTGTTATACTAATATTACAGCTTATAAATGTAATCTCGGCAGAGTAACTAAAGCTATAATAGATTTATAATAATTATAAGCTCGTAAAAGGGTGACTCGCTCATAAAAGACAACTTAAATTTATTTCGAGTAAAAATTACAATTTATCAAAAGTTTGGAAAAAGTTAGGATTGAATTTAAAACCACTTATTTCCTTTAAATGCGGAATAAAGCTTATAATTTTCAAACCTAGTCCATCGATTATAAATTATAGATGTAGCACAAGTAAGTTTGATGTAATTATGGAATTGAATGTTTGATGTTTGATATAATTGGCACCTTTGAATAATTTAGTTGCACATACAATTTCTTTTGAAAAAATATCTTTATTTATTTATGTGGTTGTGTGGCTTCCAATTCCTATACAATTCCTGTATAAGAATTAGACTATTCTCATTTGATGTTTGTGCATAATCCTATTATTGTTTTGTATTTCCTAATCCCAAGTGTTTTAAAAGTATGATAATATAAGAAATTATTTACCTTTGTCTTAGCTTAATAGCCACTATTTATTCACAATAGGATGAAATTACAACTAATATTTAAATATATAGAAGAAATTGATAAAATTTGAAAAAAGTGAAATAAAATTGAGAATATATAAAATTATTGGTGAAGTATTTTTGAGATCCAGGAGCGAGTCATTCAATGTTTAGTGGGGCAAGTTCACCCACTCAACTTTTTTGAGTAATAAAGATATAGATACAGAATGGAATTTATTTTAGAAGTTCTTAGTAAAGTGACCCATTTTAAATTTTTAAAAATACATTTAGAGTCCGTTTAGAATAAATTAATGATGGTTGTAGAATTCATTTATAAATAAATTTCAAATAAAATTTTTTTGCAAATGAATTTATCATGTTTGATATACTATAATTTAAAATAAAAAATTCAATTGAATTCCAAAAATTATATTTAGAATAAATTATTAAATTAAAATTATTTGTCTTTATTTCTTATAACACCATTGACGTAATAATTTAACAAAAATTAATACCAAACATCAATTATATTTATTATATACAATATAATAATTTTTCATTTTTATTAAAATATAAATAATAAATTCACTATAAATAAGTACACTAATAAATTTCATTTTTATTCACGCTAATTACGTTAATTATAAAAACGTAACATATCATCATAATTATTTTTAATTGATGTTAAAAAGTTTTTAATTTAAATAATTAATTTGGAAACTAAAAAATATCAAAGAATTGTTATTATTTTAATTGCATTTGAAAATAATTGTTGATATTCAGTTTTTATAGTTTCTCAGTAATAATAACTAAAGTTATTATTAGAGTTCAAAAAAAAAAAAAAAAAACGTCACTGGTTTGAAATTTTTACAAAAAAAAAAGAAAAAGGAAATAAAAAAAATATAAACTAACCTCATTATTATATTAAAAAAAAATAACATTGTTATGGTTTAGAATTTTCCAAAGAAAAAAAAAGTAAAAATAGTTGAGTTTATAATAAAGGGTAATTTTGTCAATAAATATTTTAATGGTAAAGTTTGTGGAATTCATTTACGAATTTCATCAATTTTAGTAGAATTTAAGTTAAGCATACCTAATTCCATTGAATTCAATTCGTATAATTTAAATATGTATTTTTTTACATTATAAACACAATATTTTAAATTTCTAAATAAAATCCATAAAATTTTGTAAAATTTATTTATTCCAAACGTGCGTTTATATAATTAAAAATTGGTGTCAATTTTCTTTGGTATTGGCAAACAGAAAAGTTAGAATTATCATGGGGAGTCTTTTTTTTTTTTTTTTCTTTTTTTACTTTAAATAGATAAAAGGCATCAATATGATGACTTGTTTTACTTTAAATAGATAAAAAGGCATCAACATGATGACTTGACTATAAACTTTCATATTTCTTATTTTTAACCTTATTCATTAGCACTCAAATGAATCTAATATAACTCTCACTAGTAGGCGGAGGGAGAGGGTTGCAGGCATGTACACCTCCAAACTCCACTTTTGTGATACCTTAGGTGAATCTCACATCAACTAGATATAAGGTATAAATGAAGTATATAAGAATAAACAAGTCTTAGATTAATAAGGGGTTTTTTGGGATATTAAGTTGGTTTTATCCCAATAATAAAACCGTGCCGATGTAAATGAGTTCAGTCTAAAATGGACAATATCTTGCTAGGTCTAAGCTATTACATAAGCTCTTAATAATTTTTACTTTAATAATGTGGAGGCATTTACTTATTCAAGTTGATATTTGATAGATAGGCAACGGTAGATAGGCATGATCACAAATTGATTTTAAATCGGAATCGAATCGAAATTGAACAAATTAAAATCGACATTAAATTGTTTTAACCATTCTTGGTTATAAAAATATAACCGAAACTGTGTATTTTTAGTTACAAACTGTAACCAAAACCGTATATTTAAAATTTGATTAATATTCGAGTATTAAAAATATATAGAGATGCAAATTCAACGGTTGATTGTGTAGGTAATGAGGTGACGCATGGTAAATTTTTGTATGAAGATCTTGGTGGTGCCTTCCACTCAGGCGCAAGTAGTTTATTAGATACATTATATAGTGTTGGATTCATTTGTTAAAAAAGGAACATATATAATCCAAATTGAATATAATTCATCTAGTAAATGTGTTTGAATAATGGTAAATAATTTATTTTTTGAACGAAATTATTTGATTCTATAGTATAAGTTAAAAATATTATAATATTTTTCAAATATAAAAGGAATTAAAATATTAATTTCAAAATAATTTAAGAAATCAGTTGTATTTTATCCTACTATTTTAGGATGAAATAAAAAATTTTTAAAAAAATTACATACATAACAAATTGTCGGAAAAGGAAAAATAGTAGGGCGAACAAGTACAGAAATGGTCAAAATCTTAGAGGTCATGTCACATTAATGGAAGGTTGGGACCATAATGGATTGGTTTGTGAGGTGTCCTCATATGCAAGTAATATCATATCAACCTATTGATAATAATATGCAACATTCTGATGATGACTCATCAATCCATGTTTAACAGAAAACAAGAAAAAACCATTTTTGCAAGAACGCATCATTCTCATCATCACCTACCAAAAACCTAACTTTAAACCATTCCTTTTATTTTTCCTCAATTTTATTTTTTTATTTTATTATTTAATTTATTTATTTTTCCTCAATTCCTCAATCTCACCTACCAAACACCTATATCTTTATTTTATTTTAATATATTTTTTATTTTTTAGCCATAAATTTAAATTTAAATAGAAAATTAACATTAGCAATCAAATTAAATTATCTTTATTTTTTGAAAAAATAAAATTAAAATATTTAAAGATATTTTTATTAATTTTATGAATTTAGATGGACTATTTTTGACAATCTTAATTGTTTCTCTCCTGTTCTCATTTTTATATGTATTATAGATTATAAAAAAATGATTAATATATTGTATAACATTTATAAAATTATAAATATCTTAAATTTTTTGAATTAAATGCTATAATACTCTCACCATTCGAATTTAAGTTCAATGTAATGAAAAATTAAGTAAATGTAACCATTTTTACTAATTAAATTTAAATATTTCAAGAATAGCTTAAGTTCTTTGCATTGGATTTATGGGCTTGTTTTGGCAGGCTTAAAAATTGGGTACCATTTAGAAGTCGAGGAGATGGATATGTAATTACCAATCCATGCTTATTGGGCTAATGAGCTTTCTTTGATATTGAAAGCCCATATCCACTTGACCGAGAAGGCAATGATTTTTGTTTTTGAGGGAAATAAAAAGAGAGTTTCAAAATATTGTTCTGATATAATTTCAAATATAACATCAAATTCTGAGTTAGAAATGTAATATCCCATCAAAACAAAAAATTGAAAATAGCCAATTATAATATGGTTATTAGTGATTTGAGACATTTTACGCGTTAACTACATATTTTTTTAAGGCAATCTTATAAATAATTTATATTTAAATAATTTAACTTTTAAAGTAAAAATAATATTTTTCTACAAATGTAATTTTAACGCTATCAAGTATGATTTTGTTAGGGCTATTAGAATTAGGTCACCCCTGCTGGCTCTCCAAGTCCAACGGCTAGTGGGTACAATGCAAGCAGCAAAGCAACAATCATGGCAAATCAAAATTAATGCCAGAGGCAGAGCCAACAAATTCCATTTCAAATTCAAAGCATCAAAAATCAACTCCACTTGGAAATTCCTCAAATTCTCTCTCTTTCTCAGACTCCACCAATTTCTTCTCCAAGTAAAATCAGATTCCACTCCTACCCAACAAAAATCCACTCTCAAATCTAAATTCCTCAAATTTTTTCGAAAATTTAGAGCTCCAAGAACCAAAAAACAATCAATTGCAGAAGAGAAAAACTCAGTTCTCCAGTACCCAGAAAGCAAAGTTTCCGCAGATCCACTTTCAAGGTCGACAAATGAGGTATGGGTTATTAATTTTTAATTTTTCATTATAGAAGTTTCTTGAAAGTGGTGATTACGATTTTGAAGCTTTAGATTTAATAATATTTGTAGGAGTTGTTCGTTGGAATTCTTGCATTATTATCTTTATTTTTCAAGAATTCTGGGATTGTAAAGGCCAGAACTTCAATGGTGTTCTTGATAGTTACACTAGTAATTAGTGCAACTATGCTTCCTTGGGACAAGTATATTTATCACGGGACTAAAGATTATGCGTTCCAATTAGTTTGGAAGGCATGGAACTATGCTGCATCTTCTTTATGGTTTTCCAGGTAATATTTTTGTTCTTCCAAAACTTTCTTTTTTGGGATCATTGATCCTAGTTAACTTACAACGTTAAATTTTTCAGGTAAACTTCTCAAGGCTTTGTCAATCTGTTGGTGTCAATTTCAGGACCAAAATTTTGGATCGCTGTAAATGTATTTATGCAGAGAATGGCAGAGGATTTCCCATAGAACACTCGTATTGCTAGTTTGCCACAAAATGGATGTATCTCGTTTAATTTAATTTTAATTTGTAATATATTTGATTCCTTGAATAAACTTCCACAGTCTTTTGTCCAAACAGATTAGAGATTTTAAAATTATCATTAAACAAGTTTATGTAATTTACCCAAAAAATCCTAAATTATGGCATAAAATTTAAATTAATAAAATATTTTTTTTCCCTATTTGTTTTCATCTTATCTAATATGTTAAGGTTAAAAAATCCTAATTCTTGTAATTTTTTAGATTGATAATATTGCCAATTTATTTTTTATTTAATAAAAAATAAATAATTTCTTAATTATTTTAATTATACGTTTCAAATATCATATTTCTAAATCTATAAACATATTACCTAATAGATATCATATTTTTAAAGTTTTATGAATTTATTACCTGCTAGATGTGAATATAATTTAAAAATACAAAAGACATTTGAAATTTTTTTTTTATAAGATACTATACTGAAAAAAAAAAGAAAGATGAGAATATTTTTTTATTTACAATTTTATCATTGGTCGCAATTGAAGAGACTGGTGCTGTAAAATGTCGTAAATTTAATAGAAAGGTCAAAATAAAGTGAAACTGTAAAAATTTATATCAAAATTTTTTTAATTTTTTACTTCCAAATTTATAAATTAAATTTAATAGATCAAATTAAAATTGAGGATGTCACGAGATTTTTTTATGTACACCGCGCTTGTAAGTTTATACAAATCTATGCATTTGGGGATGTACTACAGTCCACGTGAATCTAAGTTCCTAATCAAATATGTAACTTTGTGTTTGCCGCTTCAGAATTAGAACAAAGGCAATATATAGCGTTGACTAATACATAAACGAATAAAATTCCAACGATTAAAACAGCCAAGAAAATTCAATTTTGAAGTCCAAACAACCGATTTCCTAGAAAACACATAATAAAAAAAATTAAAAATAAAGAAAAGAGATATGCAATTTCAATGATTAAAATAGTTAAAGATAATTTTAGTTTCAAAGACCAAGCAACTCTTTCCTAGAAGAGAACACACGGAAGACATCCTCTCTTGTTCTCGCGTATCAGAAACTAGTGCAAGAACGAGATCTTGATAAAGAACAAAGGATTAGGAAAATAAGCAGTGTTGACCACAACAACGACAACTAATCCTTAATCCCAGGAACAAACACCAGTGGAAAAATTAAAACAAGCTAGCTTCGCGAATGTTGTAACAATTAAGTACTGTAGATATTGTTTTCTTTAGATGTTGAACCAGCTTGAGCTGTAATCTGACTGTTTCACTGCAATACAAATTTCAATGCCATCATTCCCTACTTTCAAAATTCTCCATCTGCTGAAACCTTATGTGAGGCTGTAAATGCTTATAAGAAAAGTTTTAACTTCAAATACTATAGTTGCTGGCTCTATGATGCTTTGCCCATAAACGCTGGGAAGCATAATATTTGCTTGAGATTGAAATAAGGTTTCACATTATAAACAATTATTGAAAGGAACCATTCATCTGTTATCTAACCTTAAACCACAGAGAAACAGGCCCAGGTGACAAGAAATTTTGGATTCAAAGCTTCCCCTTGAAGATCTTGGAGAATGCAAAAGGCACATTTGAACCTATATTGAAAATGTCAATTGAAGGCCTTAAATTTTTTTTTTTCAAGTTAAATATCATATGCTCTAATTATACAGCTTAAAAACATGCAAACAACACGAACCTCCTTTTCTAACAGCACCTAAAAGAATTGTGCGTTCTGGAAAACAGTTTCAACCTCAACGCCAAATGACTCTTATAGTTATTTTCACTTGCCACAAATACAAACATATAACTGAAACGATAGAAATAACAAATCTATAATATGTTTAAGAGACAAAGGACACAACCAATCCCAAGCAATCAGAAATTTTCCAGGCTGACGGCCACAACGTATTCCAATATTTTAAGAAAAACAAGAATGATTTATGATTAAAAAATAGAAGTCTAAGAACATGTTTATTTCTCTAACAACATGTTTATTTCAAACTTACACATTCATCTACCAAAATGCATCATAGAGTTGACCATATAGTTTATGCAAGTCAAACATGTTTTTCAAAGTCACCCACTTACCAAAACGCCAGCATAAAAAGCATAGTTTCAAAGGCCTCTCAGCATAAGGAAAGATCCCGGATCCATACAGAGAGCAAGACATATTAGTTATTAATCTGAGAAATTTGGGTAATATTCAGGAGAGGTTCATGTTCGTCTAAAGAAGGAGGAACCCATTGCCCATAATATTCTATTATAGCAGTAGCAGCTTCCAAAAGCAAGGTCTAACATTAGCTAATTTAAAACTTAATTAACTAGCAATAAGCATGATAAGCAACAGTAATTCAAATTGAACACAAAGGAAAATGGATGCTTGAATCTTAGAATTTAGTCCTATTTATGTCCAAGTAAATTATTTTTCTTCTTATTTTTTCAATTGAACATTAACATTGATTTTATCGATTTTCTGGGTACACAAACTAGAAAGCTTATGCAATATAAAAAACAGACAAAGGCAAACAAGAAGAAGCTATCATAATCATGAACAAAAATCTCAAGACAGCAACCAAAACAGAAAATTGAAATGGATATTTTGGCCAGTGTTACTTAATTGGTGGATTTGCCCTCCGTACTGAGTTACCCAAACGTCGTATCCAAACGCGATAATAAACGCACACGAAACACCAAAATTAGCAAATCAACCCAACCATTTGTTATAAGATAATTAGGGTCAACAATTAATTAAATGCCTCTAAATTTTAGACTTTTAATTATACAAGTTAGTTAGTTGACGCATTTAATAGGTTTTCAAATAATTACTTTTAATTATATTATTTATTATACATACAATTAAAGTCAATTCAATAAAAATTTTTATCATATTATGTATCTAAATAGGATATCATGTGTTGCAAATTTAAAAAGTTTCATATCATTGCTTACTAAGAAATTTTGTCATTGTCTTTTGTTATGCTTAACAATAATTTTTTTTTTATTATTATTATTGCCTAAGTGTTGATTGAAACTTTTGAAAATTTCTTATATGAAGTATTTTCTTGGTATGTTTTTCACTTGTATTATTTTTTTTCTCGATTTAAATTTATATTTTTCGAATTTTATCGTATCTATTCATGGTTGCATCAACTTTCTGATTCATATATTTTTCATCGTCTCATTATTAATAATTAATAAATTATCAAGGGAAGGAATATGTTTATTTATCATTAATGAATTAAATCTTTGGTTATATGAGTTATTAATTTGTTGTTATATTGCAATTTAATTATGTTTCTTTAGTAATATTCAATTTAAATAAATATATTGGTTATTTCTTGTTAAATCTAAAAATTCACATCTTAAATATATATTAAAATAGAATATATTTAATTTATAGACAAAAAATTTGAAATTTGAAATTCGAGGCCGAATTCCAATAAAAATTATATAGAATAAAATTTTAAATTTTAAAAAATATTTAAACTGGAATAGAATAAAATTTTAAATTTCAAAATAATTTTGAAATGGGATCGAGGTAAGGGTTTGGATTCAATACTAATCAAATTATATATAATAAGCATTTATTTTAAAAATTAATTAATTGTAAAATATTTCTTAATAAAAATGCACAGTAGATAAAAGTAAAGTAAAAAATTATAAAATTGTCCCCCACAAAATTATCTCTTTTTTAAAATAAATATGATGCTAAAAAATATGTTCTTACATAAAAATTTCGCACAGTAGATAAAAGTAAAGTAGAAAACATTATAAAAATGTCCCCACAAAATATCTCTTTTTAAAACTAAATATATGAAATATAAATATATATCATAGTAATAGTATACTATTATATATATTATGGTAATTTGAGAAAAATATCTTCAAAACTGGTTGCAGCTTCCTAACTCAGGCATTGCCTTTTTTCTTTTTTTCACAAGTATCTCATTTATTAATCATTTCAATCAATTTTATTTTTTTTTACCTTTTAATTATTTATTTCTAATTCTTTCATATATCTCTCATCAGCTCTCAAGTTTAGAAGCATTTTTTTATCTCTTTTATCGGCGATCTTATGCCTTTTTGATCTCTATTCCAGTCCATTTCTTCCAGTTCGCTCATTTCATAATTACAAGAGGTTCAAGTCCTCCGATTAATTTTTTTTTTATTACGCTTTATTACTAAATTACAAAAAATTAAATAAAAATAAAAATAAATATTATTAAATTAATATTATTGATATTAGAAGTCCAACAGTACCCAATAATTTTAGATTTTTTGATTATTTATCTTAATTTGTTAGAAAATTGGACGCAATCCTGAATATAAATTTTAATCTGCGGATGTTTGCTATTTATTTTTCTCTCTAGCTAATTGACCTTTGTTCCTATACAGTTATAACTCTTGCTGAATTTCAACTACTTTTATATCTACTTTGTTGCTCATTCTCGATTTGATCGTCATATCGTCCTTTCTAGTTTCAAAAAAAAAAAAAAAAAAAAAAAATTAATTACTATTCATGATATCAGTCCAATCAGTACAATAATTAGACTTTGTGATATTACTGTTATTGTGAAAATTGGACGCAATCTTGATATAAATTGTTAATCTGGAGGATGTGCTATTTATTTTTCCGCTTGAATTGACTTTTGTTTCTCTCAAAGATAACTCTGAATTTCAAATACTTTATTATTCTTGTGCATTTTCGAATTTGATCGTCAGACGTGTTTCTAGTTTTCTTTTTTGATTATATATTGTTAGGGTTTGTGATATAATTGTTATTGCAAAAAATAGGATGCAATTTTGATATAAATTGTTAATCTAGAGGATGTGTTATAGTTAAGAATAAGTCAGTATTTGTCTCCGAATCTGAATCGGCTTTTGTTTCTCTCAAAGATACTCTGATTTTCAGGTATTTTATTGTTGTTGTAGAAATATAATTATAAGAATAAGTAAAAAGAAAATGATTTTATTTTTATAGGATAAAAAGATTATTTATTTTCCTATTAAGTCATAACATGAAACATTACAAGCTTTCCATAAAAATTAATTCAAATTTAGCATAAAAGTTAGATATCCACTAATATTGAATGGAATCACCAATGTACAGAACATAATTTGAACTGTCATGCATGATTATTATAAAAAAGAAATATGAAAGCTTTCATTTGGAATAAGTATTAAATGAAAATATATAGATTTTGAAATCATATCATAGATTATTTTGTTTGAGTTTTTTTTTTATTTATTAGAAAATTTAACGATTCGAAAAAATATTATGAATTATATAATATAGAATACTTTTTCTTTTTATCTATTAAATTGATAAAAATTTTTAAAATTAAGAGATTTCGAAACTGAGATCTCTCGTTGAGAAGACCATTCATAAATTCTTTATAAATATTAAAAAATATATATTACTTACTCAAAATAGATGAGATAGATAAATAAAGACAATTTTATTTTCAGGCGGAATTATTAGTCGGATTTTCTAAAAAATAATGTATTTTTATTAATTAACAGTGTAGTTTGTGATTGCAACACTTGTACAATCTCCCCACAGCCACAGGAGACTCAGATTATTTTGTGATTTTATTACTATTTGGAAAAGTGAAAGGTAAAACTGCACAGTCAGATCAACAGTCTAAAGAGCTGGCTGTGTAGGGACCATCCGGGGCCCACAATTTCCAACTTGTCTGCTGATGTTAGAAAATTCCATCCACGCGTACATGGCGCGTGTAAGACTGCTTACCTAATATGTAAAGACAAAAAACAAAAATGTTGATGTCAGTGGATACTTTGAATGGATAAATACTGGCCGTTGATCTCTCCGGCCAGAGCCAATCTGACGGAGCAGGTTTAGAGTCAAAGACCTATCTTGATAGGTCTCTTTGACCACACTGGGAACATACCTTTTTAAAATTAAATTAATAATTTTCCAAACTTTGATTGAGCTGTCACCTCAATCGAGGCGCTCTTCGTTGAAAATCGAGGTTCTTCGTTGTTTTACCATTATGCCCATGCATCTTTCAATTTTTTCTTTTTCATTGCTACACATAGCTAACCCTACACAATGTCCTAAAAGTCCCTAGAAATTACTACCCATTGTCCTTCACCAAAGTTATTTTATTAATAAACAGTTTTATTATCTATCTACAATAGATACAAAAGTGGAAATGACAAGAGAATATTGGAATTAAAAAAAAATGTCCGTACTAAATTTATAGATAAGCAAAAATATAATTAAAAATTTTAATTCCATTATTTGAAAAAATAAATATAATTTGATTATAACCAATTATATTAATTTTTTATTAAATTTAAATTTTACTAAATAAAATAAGAAATTATGTTTTATTTCTTTAAAAACTAAAAAATTATATTATATACAATATAAGCATATATTAAATATTATATCCTATATTATTATGACCAATCACATCTATTTTTTATTTAAAGTAAGAAATTATATTATATACTATATAAGATATAAATAAAATATGGTAAAAATATAATATCTTTAAAGATTTAAATTTTATTAGTTAAAAATAAGATAATTTTAATTTTGATTAGTATTTTAATTTCCTATTCAAATCTAATTCAATTAAATAAAATAAAAAATTATATTATATACTAATAACGTGCATATAAAATATAGTAAAAATATAATATCTTTAATGATTTTTATTTGTTGGCTTAAAAAATAAATATAATTTAATTTTGATTGGTTTATATTATAAAAGGTAAAAATGGTAAGAATATAATATGTTTAATTATTATTTTTAATAAATTTTTAATTTGATTGGTTATAATTATTTCCTACAAGTAGCTTATTCTATTGATTGGTTATAATTATTTCCTACAAGTAGCTTATTCTAGAAAAAATAAAATTTAATTTATTATTATTTATTAATGAATATATTATAAAATTTATTATTTGATATAAGATAGAAAATAAACCTCACTCGAAATATATATAAAATATAAAATTATTATAGAATTACAATTATACTAGCAAACTATGCAATAGATTGAAAGAAATATATATAAAATATAAAATTATTATAGAATTACAATTATACTAGCAAACTATGCAATAGATTGAAAGATTTTTTTTTCTTTAAAAAAGCAACTATAAAATCAATTGTAATGCTTATAGTCTTTAGTAAAAGGTTTAAAAAATATTAAAATTATAAATTATGCTCTAAAACAATGATAAATAAAATAAATTTTTGTAATAGTTAATACCGATTTCGTAAAATGTTATAATATAGACAATTGATGGTATTATAAGAAAAATAAATTGTTTGATAAGTAATTTATCTTTATAAAAATTTAGTTGTTAAATTATAATAATATTTTATTGTTATATAAATATATATTTTCTTTAACAAGTAATTTTAATTATTGAATTTTTTATTTAATTATTATGTAGAATGTTCTTTTTTTTTTATTTTGTAAATGCTCTTAGATTTTTAGTAATATAAATTGTTCGTAATATTATAATTTATAATAAAAAATTACATGTATAAATTAAATTACATTTACTATGTGTAATCAATAAGTATAAATAATATGCGATACAAGTTTGAAAAAACTAATTTTTAAATTTTTTTGGACATTAATTGATTGAATTTTTTTTAATTTAAAAATTAATTTTTGAAGGCATTTAGTCTTTTTAAATTCATGGTGGGTGAGCATAGAGGAGGTACTTCATCTTTTTAAAGGTATTTAGTCTTTTTCAGCTCTCTTAGAATATGGCGAATTGAGTCTTTAGCTTAGAGAAGGTACTTTTAATCTTTTTCGGTTCACTTAGAGCACGACGAAGTGAGTTCCTTAGTTTGGAGAAAATGTTTAACATTTTTAACGCACTTAGCCTTTTTTTTGGCTTACTTAAAAATCATGTGAAAAATATTTAAAACTATATTTTGAGATGGAATTAATATTATTTAGACTGTTCGGTAGCAATTTCTTAAATAGTTTTTAGCTTTTTAATAAATGTTATTTTTTATAATATTTAATAACATAGTGTTTGAATTACATTTTAAAGGTTAAGACAATGTTTTATAAAAAAATTAAAACATTTAACTTTTAATGTTTTACAAAAAAAACTATTCAAACAACTAATAATTAGCAAAATAACTAATTTTTTTTAAAAGATATATAACAATTATCAAAATAACTAATTTTCTTTTGGAGGCACGTACAACGATAAAATCAACATTTTCTTTTTTCCGAGATGATATTCAATCCATAGAAGGTAAGTAAAGTAATTGTGCTTAACTAATTAGGAAAGAGGACTGTCAGAAGGAGACGAGACACGAGTGGCAACGAGATGATATATAGAGAGAAAGAAAAGGGCAAAAATGTCAAAAAAGAATTTGAAAGCCATTTATGTGTATTTTTAAGACAACAAAAAATCATATATTAATGGGTTAATTAAATCTGGGTGTTGGTAGGTTTGACCACTGCTCATTGGGCTCCATTCTCTCTTTCAGACTCTTTCTCTCTCTTAATATTCCTTTCGCCTTTTCTCTAACTTTCTCTCTTAAAAATCTCTCTCTCTCACTTATTTCAGCTCTTTCTCATTTCCTTTCTTTGACTTGTTAAAGAGTTTTGTTTTTTTTGTTTTTGGAAAAGAAAATTATTTGGGTTTTTGCTTCTCATCAAATCAGAGATAACAGGTTACCATTTCACCATTTTGCTTCTCCTATCTTCTAACTGAGACTTGCATGAACCGGACTTTTCAGGTACGATTATTATTATTTTTATTGTTGTTATTTTTGCTTCTTTTACTTTTCCTGATAAAGGAAAAATCATCATAAATTTTGGAGCTTGATGAATTGATGGATTTCTCTGTAGAATTTGTTTCTCTTGGATGAATTTAAGGGATTTGCTTGTTTATTACTTTGTTTTGTTGGGTTGATTTGATTTGCTTTCGTGTTTCTCTGTTTTTTAGTTTTTGCTTATGGGTATTGTCTGCTTGTGGTAAATGGATGATGGGTAAATTGAACTGGCTGATTGGCTGATGTATGGAATTGAGGGGTTCTAGTGTTGAAAGTTTTCAGTGATTTTGGATCTGAGTTGCTTTATTTGGTCTGATAGATGGGTTTCTTGTCTTCTTCTGGAAGTGCATTATTGAAAATACCGTTCAATTTTGATACTTTTATTAATTTATTAATATAGGTCATTTGATGGGAATATGTTTGGCTAGTTGGCATTTTAGATTATAGAGAGAAATTTGCAGTAGGTAATTTCAGTAACATTTTATGTGCATGGATTAGTTAATTGGGCTTAATTTGCCCTAAATAGTGATTAAATCATCTGCCAAATGACTTATCCCTACAATGATTTCGTTACTTTTATAACATTGGCTGTTTGAATTAATTGTGATAGTAATTTGACCTGTCTTTCCGCTGTAAAGATTGAATTTGTATTCAACCATTATGTATTTATGATGCTGACTATATATGCTTGGTTAGTGGAGAACGACAGCGGGATCTGTTAACATAATTTTGTTGCTGCTGACTAATTGGCTACATATTGTCCCTCATTAACCTGAGTTGTTAATTCAGTGTCTTTATTTTTCATGTTAAGTTTCGCCACTCTAGTGTGACTTATAAAAAATGTTAATGTATGGTCATTTTCCACAGGATTCCTTGGCATTAATAAAAGTTAGGAACTGTCTGAGCTTAAGGCCCCTTACAGCTTCCAAGAATTGAATGTAGTAAAATGGGGTGTTTCCCAGTTTTGAAAAGCAAGAAGAAAAGGCCTGAGCCATCTCTTTCCATTAAAAGAGTCAGTCCAAAGGAGCAGACGCCGACCATACTACCTGAGCCCCAGATCCCAACTCGTTCACTGCAGTCAGCACCCCCTAGTTTTAGAACCAGAGTGAAACCTGTCCAACCAGAAAATAGAGTAACTAACAGTAGGGCACGGGCACTGTCAGCTCCAGAAAGCCTTGATGCTGCTGAACAAGATGAGCTTGCAGCAATTGATTATGATGAGCATGAAGAGTCAAAAAGCAGAGGTAGTTTGGCAAGGGAACACCCTAGTCCGCAGCCCCTTCCACTTCCTGCTGCTGCATTGAAGCCTATGGGTAGCTTCAAAGGTGTGACTGGCAGTGGTCCTCTCTTTGCTTCTGGGCCTCTGCCGCTGCCTCCAGGAGGAACACACAGTGGAACGCTAAAGATCTATTCATATGACGAAATTATATCAGCTTGCCGCAATTTCTCCTCAGATCGATGTGTATCTGAAGGTCTTTCTTCCACCATATACAGGGCTTCCTTTGCGGATGACACTTCAAGTTCAAAGAAGTTTGAAGCTAGCGTAATTCGTCTTCATTCATCCAGCCAGGTAAATTATGGTAAACCATGTTTTGTTTTCCATATTGAAGTTTTTTTTTTTTTAATTGAATGTGAGGCATTCATTAAGATTGTGTTGGATGTTTGGCCATACCTATCCAGAGCACATTTCTTTTTTGTTGGCATTCAGGAAAAATTTTCTTGCCTGTTTTTGTTCCTGATATACAGTTAAGTTTTCTATGTTCTTTAGAATATAATTTTCTAGACTTTGACAGAATGGCAAACTTTTGATACGTCTTCCTTCCTTGGAAAATATGTTTTGCTAACTTTTGGTGATCAATTAGAGCAAATGCTCGAAAAGATAACAGTGGTTAATTGATAACATTGGTTAATCTCTCCTGTCGGACTGAAATTGCATCTGCCTTTTCTTGAACTTAATCTTCTTCATTATATTGTTATTCTAAACAAAAGCATACATGCTTGATCTTTCTATTTACATTTATGTGGAGAGTGTGTGATCAACAAGTGGATCTCATTGTTTGTTTGCGACTATGTGTCTTCTGGAGGAGTTTATGATAGATATATGTACAAGCATGTGCGTCTTTGTGAATTTTATTTTTTCAAATATTTGAGATGTCTGAAGGTCTGGCAATAAAGTCATAATGTATCTGTTATCTTTCAGGGTTTGAAGGAATTTATCAATGAGGTTAATACCCTTGCATCCTTGCGACATCCAAACCTATGTAAATTACTGGGTTACCATGCGCGCGATGGGTCAGAGCAAAGAATGCTGGTGTATGAGAGGCTTTATCATGGAAGCTTGGACCGGCTTTTGTATGGGAGATCAGATGGGCCTCCCATTGATTGGAATACCAGAATGAAAATCGCTTTATGTGCTGCACAAGGTCTTACTTTCTTGCACGAAGAAGGGCCTTTCCAGGTAAATGACAGCTATGATCTGTACTGTTTGTTGAGATTTCAGGAAGTGAACGATAACAGGTTACATAAAGACATTGCACGTTTTCATACTTTGTCTCGCAGTTATTTTTTTTAATGACTGTAATCTGTTTTGATAAATCCTCCATGAGCACTAATTGTTCATGTACTCCTCAAATTATTTTGGAAAGAGAACTTCATGGAAGAATGATGCTTATGACTCTTAGTTTTGCACGAGTACTTTAGAACTTTCAGGTTTACTGAGTGCTTATATGTTTACTGAAATAATTCATTGACTTTGCAGGCAATGTACAATGAATTCTCTACTGGCAACATACATATTGATAAAGATTTTAGCGCAAAGCTTTCAGGATATGGTTGTGTTGGTCATATTCCCGAGACAGAGATCCCTAAGAGTTCAGTGGTGAGCCATCGCATGTTCATATTTGTTCTTGGTCTGGATAAATTGATCTTAGTTTCTTCTACTTCTATGCTTAAATATGGGGTGACACAATTTACAATTAAATTTGCAGTCATTAATAGCTCTTTTTGTACCTTTTATTTTTGTTATTTGTTTTCAGTTTGTGAGGGGGATTAATTTAGTTTTGTAATTGTATTTACTTGCAGGCTGTGGCAAATCTCTCAGTAGAGACTCTGGAGAAAGGGCTATTGACTCCAAAGAGCAACGTTTGGAGTTTTGGAATTGTTCTGCTGGAACTACTTACTGGCAGGAAGAATCTTGATAACCGTCATCCCAAGGAAGAGAGGAACTTAGTGAAGTGGAGCCGACCTTTCCTCGCTGATGATTGTCGACTGTCACTGATTATGGATCCTCAGCTAAAAGGTCGTTTCCCAGTGAAAGCAGCCCGGACAGTGGCCGACATTGCTCTTAGATGCCTTCAGAAGGACCCATTGGAAAGGCCAACTATGAGAACTATTGTAGAACATCTTAAAGTTATACAAGATATGAAATACTCTACTCGGTTTCCTTTGCAAGAGCCAGCTGCAGTTGCAGGAAAACAGATGTCTAGGTCACCGAGTCTTAACGGGATAGTTACTCCAGCACCCAGATTAAGTTTCTCTCCATCACCGCCGTCAAGGGTTCGACCATCATTTTCTCCTACGAGGCCACCTGCTTTGCCAATGTCTCTTCCTCCTCGTGCCTGTTCCTCGACCCTCTCATTCGAGGAATTGGAAAGACAAGAAAGCCGTAAATCATCATCATCAGCTGTGCGAAGGCCTAGTGTTGAAGGATTTTGATTGTTAATATGCATTTTTTCATTTTTTTTTTGAAATGTTTTTGGCTCATTCAATAGAATATATAGAAAGATAAAATTTGGTTCTTCCTCCTTTCCAATCCCTCCGAGATGATAAGAGAGGATGGTATTTTGTAGATAGCGTGTAAGCCTGGTCCTCACCTGGCCTGATTAGTTCCTGTAATCCACAATGCCATTTATATGATAGTGTTTAAATCCACTCTCTCTCCTACCCTCGGTGATTTTGTTTTGAAATGAAATGAAATGACTTGTTTACTCTCTTCCATGCGATCTGTTTCATTTTAGTGTAATTTTTTTTTCTTTTTATTTTTCCCATATTGATTTGAAACGAAATAACCATAATTTACATGCTAGAAAGATGCAGATGGGATTTATTTATGCTCAAAATATTTTAAAAAAAAATTATAATCTAATGAAGGCCTCATCCTCCTGGAACAGAAGGCAATATTTATTCTTCATCCTTTGTGCACTGAGGAAATCTTTAGATTTGAGAAAACTTTTCACGTGGAGGAATTAATGATTTCAGTGGTTAATGTGTTGTGTTTTGATTATAATAATTAAAAAGAAAAGAAGAAATATTTTTTTTAAGAAAAAGGTCATTTAAAAAATTTTTTGCAAAACGCTCAAAACAAAACAATAGAGGAAGAAGTGTTTATCCATTGTACTTGTGGTGGGATGTTGTAAAGCCAAAGACGATTGCAATGATTAAGGGATTCAATTCTTCTTCTCCATCAAAAGCTAGGAAGAAAGCACATAGATTTGGAGAGAGGCTGGTTCTTGTCCTGCTCTTCTTTTCTTTTCTTTTCTTTTCTTTTTAAAATAGATTTTGGATCTAATTCATATTTTTCTTTACTTTCTTCATTTTTTTCTTGTGTTGTTTCCTTAGCTTTGATCATACTTTCTTTAAATAAATACCATATTTGGTATGTGGAATATTTTGTTCCTTGGACAAGTGCGTACTATGTGGAGCATTTGCTTTCTAAAATCTTGATTATAGTCTTTTTAATTGTCCCCTTTAGCTCAACTCTTGAAAATTTTTTATAAACCCCATTAGCTTTGATTTCTCGTTGTGTCACTGATTTTACTTTTCAGTTAGTAACTACCTAACTACACATATATTAAAGTATTCAAATGGGAAAGCAAATTTCCATTTATTCCCACTAATTTCTAGAATAAAAAGCAATGCGTGGTTGAATAACAAAAATTGTTTAAAAAATGCATAAATTTAATTTATGTGATTATTTGTTATAGTTGGCTTTCACTTGATGTAAAATGAAATTCATAAAAACAGTAAGATATTTGCTTTATACTATCTATAATTATGCAGATTTTTAAAAATAATAATAATAATAAGGCAAATGGTATCTAATTGCATTTCTCTTGATAAATACGTTAAATTGTGGATTTTAGGTGTAGCAATCCAATAATGTCCGGTGGAGTTTCTTCAACCAGAAGCTTGGGCAGAAATGCTTAGAAACAAAGAAACATATCCTCGTCAATGAACAGGACAATGGTCCGAACCCAACCATCTGCCTCCACACAATTCTTTTCCTTCTTTGATTTTGTAGATGCCAATTTTAGACTCAAAAGTTGGTGACAAGTCCAAATACAAACTGCTTTAAATTAACTTATATCTAAAGTACAAAACTCACTGATGGATTAGAGAGAATAGGAAGAAAGGGAATTTCAAACAAGATAATCAATCAGATGTGTTTCTTCATAACCGGAGAAACAAATATGTAAATGCTACGGTGGCAATCATCCGTTTGAATATTCTCTATACTTGAAGTATTTCTTACATATGATCAATACCTAGCACCTCCAAATCTATTCACATGAATCCCCCTCAGTGTTGTATTATACACATTATATAATGAATAAAGGACATTGCACCTTCAAACTAGAAAAGAAACAAAAATGTTACCCATCCCACATAAAGAAGACCTAGAAACCTGTATTTATACAAAATAACAAATAATAATAATAATAATAGGAGGAAAATAATAAGTGAACCTCATACAGGATCATTTTGGCTTTGCTCTTGTCCAGGTCCATTGTTCTCTTCACCTCCACTCTCTTGCTCTAGAACAGCAGAAACAAGTTGACAATCCTCAGGAAGTAAGCCTTCACTTTCTCCAGTTTGAGGTGGCATGTGTGATGCTGAACTCCCTTGTTGCTCAGTTACCAAACTTGTAAGACCATTCTGTTTCAGATACGTCTCCAGTGGAAGGCTTGCTACTTGGAGAAGACTCATCATGCTCATACGGGATAACCCCGCTTGTGATTCATCTTCACGGTCAGGATGACAATTCAAGTCTATGTGTCCCTTTCCAGATTCAACCATTTTGTTTGAGAGATTATTGCTTTGACTTTTGGATTCTAACTCAGTAACTGACCTAACTTCATTCTCTGAAGGATCCTGGGGTGTTGATACATGCTTAGAGCTGCTCTCTACTTCAGCATCATCTCTAGGACCTGCCATGTGCTGATTCCTCTGCACAATCTCTGCTTCACGCTCTGATTGACGTTTTTTCTTGCGCATCATTAGGGTCTTAAAACGGCGTTTAACTGTCATGCAGACATTACATGTGCATGTAGGCTTGTGCTTGCCCTTACCACTTGGGGGCTGGATGCACACAATGCAGGAGCAACCAGGACGATGCCTTGGATGTTTGGTTGTGGTAGCAACTGCTATAGTGCTTGGATCACCCTCATCTCCGAGAATTGCAGCATTAGCCAAAGCATCTAGGCCGGAAGATTCATGCTCCTGTGCTGGCCTATGGACACTTGCTATTCTCCTTTTCTTGAAATCTATAATACAGGTCATGATAGCATCAAAAAGAAAACACATAAAAGGTAACTTTCAATAATGAACAGAGATTGTTTGATTCATTATGATTAGCGGTTCATATGCATAAAACATATTAGCTCCTTTGGAGTAAATAAATTAGAAGTACAGAATTTATTTACAAATAATAGAATTTGGTTAGTCACTTTGAGTTCCATAAAATTGACTTCATGAGGGTAAAATTAAGATTTTCATTCATAGCAAACAAGAAAGCACAAAATTTCAAATTAAGTCCATAAAATTTTGCAGAATTCATTTATGTCAAACAAGACCTCAAAGACAATAGGCCAAATGTTCAATGACAAACACAGTATTTGTAAACCTTCCTCTGCTATATTAAAGTCACCAAATTGACCATGCATCTGTGAGTTTCTCCAAGATAAAAGAGTTCCCTTGAGTTGTAACTAATTATTAAATGCCACCACACAGAGTGGCGGATGCAGAAACTATAGCAAAGTGCAGGCAAGATCTTGAAGCATTGTTTTATGTTTATGCACATGAATGCCATCTGAAGGCCTCTTCTGTCTTTTCTTGATCCAAGGAAGCAGCAGAATAATGTAACAATGCAAATACACCATATCATATTGCACAGAGGATTTAACCACAAAGTACTTAGACATGGATACTGCACTGCTTATTACTCGGATATGAATGTGTAACACTAAATTATGCAAGGCCATCTGAAAATTGCGATCTTCAGAACTACAGTGAGGATTACGTTATAGATTGATCACTTAAAAGTAACAAAAATAATCAATAAGAAAAGACTGTTATGGTAAGAAAAGTTCATTGCAATACCACACAATCTTGTCAAAACGGACACATGCTAGTTTCATAATTCGTACCCTTATTAAGTCTTAGAAGATTTTCCAACTCTCTTGGGGTCAATTCATCTGGAGCAGAACATGAATGCCTGGAGACAGAAGACCACATTACAGTATGGATTTATGAGGGGGGATAGGGACTGGTTTTCTCAACAAAAATCACACTTAGACCAAAAAAACTGAAATCGGAAAACATGTTATTGACCTGCTCTGATCCCAAGCATTGTCCGCACATGTCCACTTAGGTGGAAGAAGAATATCAGCCGGTAACCTTCGCCACTTAGAGCAACTATCACACTGAGCCCATTGCTCTTGTCCCCTGATGACAAAGCTTAGAAAATCCAGATTAGATGTATTTTGTCAAACTAAATCCTGAAAAAATGAAATCCTGATCCATTCCAGACCTAATAACAGAATAACAGACATGTGACACTTGAATGAAAATAAATGCAGGAAGAGGCTAGGGTACACAGGTAGCATCGTCAGGGTTGTAAGAATGAACAAAAATTGAGATCTTGGAGATGATGTAAAGTGGGCTCAGTAGATCTTATTATCATAGGATCTAAAGAATTCTTCACCGAAAGAAAATGGAACGACAAGATCAATTTCCTTGAGCAACTAGCACATCAGAAATCTCAAGACGACAGAATGTAGATTTCCCTAGACAAAAATGATGTTGCTCTAGGACTTCGACAAATCACAATTCTTTCCTTTCAGAGATTTTACCTACCACCTCTTCATTCAAATTTCAATAATCCCTGAACTGCTCCCCCACCCCTTCCTTTTTCTTTTTCATATTGCTAAAGTATCCAGCATATCAAATTATAAGAAAGGGACAATATGAAAAATAGCAAAGGGAAAGCACAATTCAGAAAAGAAAGGTTAAAACAGGAAATTAAAAAAATGGCTTGCAGTCAAGTCTGAAAAGTAGACAGGTAAAAGAAATCTTTAAGAGAAAATTGAATATAAAAAGGGATTTTGGAAAAAATTGGTTTCCCTTACAGAAATACATACTCTATAATGCCAGGTGGTAGATTCTTGTCATTACAATTGCATAAATCTAGAAGTAATAATGTAAAAGATGTGAAGGTGATTATTCTTACCCAATTGAACGAACTACAAAGATACTTCTCTTCCCAAAAACTGGAGGCTCCTACATGAGAAGATAGAAAAGTCAGAAATTTAAATACATAGCTTTCTTAAGCAACAAGGTGATTTCATATTCAAAATTTCAGGAATTTTAGGAAGATCAACGATCATGTGACTGAATGAACTGACTGGGGTATCACTCCTTTTGGGAAGATGCCCATGTTTGTGGGTGTGTGAAGAAGAGGATGAATAAGATTTCAATTCATGCAAAACTCCCTTAGAGAATCAGTATGAAAAATACTAGATTGATATTCAATATGAGTTCTGATTACCCTGCATCTGCCTATGTAAACCAGAATATCTCCAAGGGAGGGAACTTGCAATACTGTCAAGTTTTTGAACCAAGGAGTGTGTGAAAAAGAAGTCGTTGTGTCCTCTCTCTCATCAGAATGTAACCAAAACAATAGCATACTTGTGTATCTATAAATAGTACGTATATATAAAAACTTCAATAAAAGTACTCACTTCATATTCTTCAAAATCATGATCCTCAATAGTAACAATACTAGGCTTCACACTTGGTGGGGGACAGAGCAAATCTTGTGCCTCTTCCCACGTCAGTTTGAGCTCCAAAGCATCTAGGCTGTCAATTAAAAGCCTCTTACTTTTAGATCCAATATTTCGTGTTCTCTTTCTTTCTGGAACCAGCAACGATGGTAACAGCAAGCTCTCTCTAGTCCTTTCCTCATGCTTCTCAGATTTATGCCAGCTAATATCACCATTAGCTGAATGCAAATTTTTGGACAATGCATTTAAATGAGTATCAGAGCTTCCCTTCAGTGACTGAAGGAGGCCAGAGTAACCACTTATTATAGGTAGGTTCTCAAAAACACCCGAAAAGAAACTTTCGCTTGTATGAACACCATTAGGAATGGCAGATGGTTGAATGTCCTGTTTATTTGGTGATTTGCATATTAATATCACATTATCAATTTTGGTAAAATAGAAATGGACTTCCATTTACCTGCATTGCCATAGAGTTTGATGCTTTTCTGAAACCCATAACAAGTTTTCCTTCTGGATCCATACGGCTAAATGTAACTGCAATAAACATGATAAAATTATATAAGTTTTAACGTTGAACATGCCTCCACCTTCCAAAAACTAGTGACAATTGAGAACTACGCCCTAATTGTAAAGCAAAAAGGTTTAGGGTAACCAATTTGTTAGGCATGGATTGATATCTTTCTGTCCAAGAACAAGAAACTGAAAAACTTATTATTTGTGGATTATCCCAATTAAAATTATTAGGATGATCTATTGCTGATAAAGAAAACGTAGAACTTGATTCATTAGTAATAGCAATCCCACAGAGCTATGTTTTTCTTCAGAGAAATGTAGTAAGGCAACAGACTTCAAATACAGGATAGAGAAGATTGGGATTCCTAGGTAGAATAGAATAATAGAATAAGCCAAAAGGCATGTAAATTCATCAAATATCTATTACAATCACAATATTCAGAATGGTGGGGTTAAAAAATACCAGTATCTCCAGCCTGCAACTGCATGGACTGTATGCAAGGGGTTACACCCTCCAAAACATACATTCTGCTGTTATTGTTAGGCCAAAATCTGAATTGAAACACCCACTCTTTTCCTTTTACATCTTGAATTCTTATAGGAAGACCCTCTGGTTGTGAGATAGGAGGAAAATAAGCCTGCATAGTGATAGCTTTCTACTGATTACAACAAGGCTCATCTACAGAAAGACTTCAAATATGAAAATACAATAGCAATTGAATATCAGTTACAACAATTGAATAAAATAAGAACTACAAAAACGTACTTCAGCACATGCTTTAGGGAGAACCAAACGACCAATCCGACCAGCATCACTTGCACTGAGAACCTTTTCAAACAATGGCACGATGGTGGAATTTGAACTTAAATACCACATGGTTAAGGTTATGTATATCCTAATTAACAGATGGGAAAGAAAATCATAAAAGCATAAAATTTAATGCATCGTTATGCAAACAAAAATCTCATGTGCTTGATACATGAATAGTTCATTAAAGGATACTCGGCAGATATTTGTTGCAACTCTTGGTCTGTTATCCTAGGCCAATAACGAGGAAGCAACTGATTCCGTCCCCGCCCTTCAGCAGGAGGCCTGGCAACACGTATCTGTGAAACCATGCCTGTATTTGCCTCCAGACCTGTAGTAAGAACTGACTTTGGAGGCTTGGGCAATAGATGGCGAGACCTGGACCCATGTTGTAGTGGAGAGGATGCCTTACTTTGAGCCCTTTCATCAATAACAACTCCAGGATAAGGATTTGAATTCACTAAAGGTGAGCCGAGGGTAATACTCAAGTTTGTTTGTGCTAGTGATTCATATAACTCTTTTGTCGCAATATTTGTTTTACGAATCTCTGGTTTGGTAGTTTGAGATAATCCATTTGATGCTTGATTAAAGTTTGAGAGACTTGTGCTTCCAATTTCCCCCATAGGAGTCAAATTATCCTCCTGTTTCATCTGTCTAAACAGCCCACTTGCCTCATCATTTTGTAACTGGAGTAAATGTCTAGAGCCAATAACTTCAATGGTATTTCCTAACTGCAAAAGCTTCCGGTCACCATCCAACTGATTGTCAGCAGATTGGGATTCACCAGTATCATCAATTTTTGACATGCCAAATCCACTGGATTTTTCATTCCCCATCACCTGAATATGTTTTAGTGTATGTTAAAAATGTATCCATTTCTGACAGTGAAGACTAAAGAGCTTCATTCAAGCATTGTCCAGCACCACAAAGGAAGAACCAAGTGTGTCCCACAAAGAAATACGAGAAAGATGTTGACCAATACGACAATATCAAAGATATTTTGACCCAAAAATTACTTTAATGCATTTTATAAAGACTGCACTCTTTCCTTGGCACTCAATTTTATGTTACACTTATATTCCAGAGATGCTTCTACAGATGAAAGACATTAAAGGGTTGTTTGGAACCATTAGATACAACATTCAAGCATTCACTACAGAAATTACTAGGAAAAACATGACATTTCTAAAAATGAAAAAGATGAACTAGTACACAAGTAATTTGAACTTACAGAATTAACCCCTGAACTCTTAGTACAGCTTATACAATTTACACCACCACCATCAAGTAGCTCAAGCAGAAATCTGGAGGCAATACATCCACAATGGAGACGCTGCCAGTACCAAATTCAGTCACTTACATTCTGTTTGAAAGCCGATGGAATTCTATGCCAGATAGGGATAAGGAAATAAATAAATAAAATTATTAACTGCTGATGTACCTTGCCACATGAAGTGCACTCCCTCCAACCAGAATCCTTCGAGTGAAACACATCACAAAAAATTGATTGCTCGTATGCAGACCTATGGCCATAATGAAATTACGTTTCTCCAATTAAAATTATTGATTGCAACTATCTCACAAAGTAAAGTCGTAACTTTCAGTTGTATTTATGTATCGCAGCCTTGCGGTTCATAAATAACAGTCAATATCTGATGTGCCTAAACGGCTGATTCTATATTTCGCCAAATCATACAAAAGTTTTAGATTAGGAAGATAAAACTGTACATTCCATCTTAAGTATCGCAAGGATAACACTTTATTGTCTAGTTCAGCTCCCCAATTTCAGGAAATTACTTTGAAGTACTTCTTTACAGAAATCTAATCCCATTGAAACCATTAGATTCGGATTCACAATAATGTCCAAAAAAGCAATAAATACCAGAAAGGCGAAATGGTCCACCTAACGCCCAAAAATAGAAGGTTGGAAAATAGAAGCCGTTTTAACAACAATAACACCAAGGAGCGATAAACATATATAGACAAGGACTAAATCTGCAGAACCAAAAACCTCCCATTGGAATTATACAATCTTAGAAGCAAACAAGTAACCATCCCTATAGCTCCATTGTCTTCCATAACTCATTAGAGAAGATAAAGAATTGAAGTAAAGTAAAATACCCGCACTTATCGCAGAGATTAGCGAATTCGCCAGATCGCAAAGGCCAACCTTTTTTCCACACGCTCGACGTCGAGGCGACGCATAATGCATTCATGCAAGTCTTCGACTCCATCTTCAATATCAATTCTACAAATTTGAACAAAAAGCAAATTCAAATCGCCAAAAACAAATCCCTAACGATTCCCGTTTCTATAAATCTAAGTGGCGAAACACTCAAAATTGGTCAACCAAAAACGCAGTACAGCTCCATAAATATTATTATTAGAAGATAAAAGAAAAAGAAAGCTAACCTCTCATCACAATCTACCTCTTATGATACAAAATGCTAATTTTCAGCTATTTCCATAACATGTACACAAAGACGCCATGTTCGATTTCAGCTAATCAGTTATATTAGACTACCTTGAAGCACTGAGCTTAGTTTTTAATCAAGAAATTATTGAAAAATCAGGCTGGTGAAGTGACTGAAGTAGGTTTCCGGTGATCGGAGGAAGGAATTAGCTATTAAGAGGAGAGGAAACAAAAGCATGTGCATGCAAAGTAACAGTGTATCAGAGAGAGAAAGAGTTTGGTAATTACAATAAAAATGCATGCACGATGATACTTCAAGACTCGGCGAACTCGCCCACCTTTCTTTTCTCCCACTTACCCTCTTATTTTCCATTTTTATTAAATTCCTAAGCAAGATGTTTTTTTTTTTAAACTTCTAAGATTTTATATATAAATATATATTGTACTACTTCCAAGGCGCGTAATTTTCACTCCCAGAAATTGAACCCAACAAGCACCATTTATTATTTAGTGTAAAATTGATTTACTAAAAATTTGATTTTCATAATAAATTTTGGTTTTATTTTTTATAAAGAAAACCTAACAGACCAAAATAATCAAATAATAATATAATATATATAGTAAAAAAAATTTTACAAAAATATTTACATGAAATAATTGAATGACAGAAAAGTGACTATTTAACCCATTAGTTATGGAGGTAAAAATTATAACCAGTTGAATGGATTTTAAAACAAATAAATTTTTATATTATTCTTTTATATAACATGAAAAATCAAATCGAATTGATACTATTTTATTTTGATTCTTCATATTTTTCAATTTGTTCATTTTTTTATCGTTGCCTATTCCACAATATTAACCCTTATTAATACTATTAATTATTTTATTAATTATAAATTATTTTAATAGTTGTTAATTAAATATTAAAAGAGATAACTTAATCTCAACTTTTAAATTATGTTACTGAATAATTTAAATAATAAAAAATATTTTAATTATAGTCCAATTACTGAATATCACTTTAAAAAATTATTATTGAATAGGGGCTTTTGTTCAATTTTTTTGCTAGAAATGATTTGATTACATGGCATTTGATTCCTTAGAATAAAATGCTAACCCATAAAGACCAATCAGAGGGTAGCGAATAGAAACAAAAGGTTAGCGCGTGGTATGATTGCGGAATGGAAATATACCAAATTATTTTTTAATTTGTTTTCAAATAATACCAAATTACTAAATACAACTTAAAAAAAAATTAAAATACGGCAGCAGGACAGCACCGCAAGGTGCGCCACTAGGCGTTGTTTACTCCAACCGCATATTTCGCTTGCAATTGGGTACCGAAGCCGAAATGACTAAAATACCCCTATTTGTGCAGTTTATTACGATGTTATACCAGCACGTCTGTCCAGTGAGTCCCACGCCTACGCCGTCCAAGTGTCCAACAGAATTTTTGTCAACTGTGGATGATCATTATTCAGCTGTTGATTTCTTTATTTTAGTAATTTTTAAAAATGTAGTATATCTTTTAAGTGCAATTAATGACGTCATATTATTAGGTGATGATGTTAGGTGACCTGGGAGTGCTCAACGTACCTACCACGCTGAAAGAGAAACGCTAACTCACGCGCCTGAAGACATGACCAGTCACGTCTGACAACTGACCTGGAACGTGATTGCACGCGTGTTGAATGCGCCTGGTATTACTTATTAAATTAATCCCTCGTGGCGGAACAGTTGGCCTTTGGATTAAAACAAGGGGTATTTTGAGTTGTGTGTACTAGAAGAATGTTCTGTTCAAATCAAGTATGTAAAACGATGAGTCGTCATCATACTACGCGCAAGTTGGCTGAAATGACACTCTGAATCCTTCGTTTAGTAAATTAGTGAAACTTTCCTGTAGAAATGATTTAACTTTGAAATTTTTCATTTTTCATACAAATAAGCCCTATCAAATCATATATAATTAATTAAAAATTATATCTTTTTAAACTATAATTTTACTATTTCTGTTATAATGGTAATAATCATCAACAATAATAATTCCCTCAACTCACGAGTTGTTCATATTACTAGCTATGCTTGGTCATTAGATTGATTTACACTAACTTATCACAGCAAAAAATCTTTCAGTAAAAGCTTTTATCAAATGGATAATAATAGCTCTGATGCTTGAATTTTCACATTTTTTCTATTTGAGCGTTTGCCGAAAAATATTTTTAATTGAGTACTCAAACATTTAAAAATAACCCATCAAATGTCTATTACTAGTTTTACTCACCGGGATACTGACTTTGTGAGCCCTATATTTGTTTATGTGGCAATCAATGTATATGAAAAAAGACATGTCAGCCGAGACCTATGTAGATAGATATATGAAATCCTAAATTTGACCTTATCTTCTCCATCTCTCATCCAAACTTCTTCAACCTTTGCACGACGAACAGTCAGTAAGCCTATTAATAATTTAACCAAAATATCCAAAAAAATTTTCTGCTAGTAAGCAACCTGCAATAGCCTTTGCTTCTTGAATCGTATCTTGCAATCCGTCGTTATGAAAGTTACTCTCTCCAGACGTCATCCTAAAACTATCCTAAATGCAATACTCACAGTAAGAGCATGTGATTTTTCACTAAGATTAGCAGGAGCTTCCGCTAATGATAACTAGGAATAATCATTTTGGACCAATTTTTTGCAATACGATTTTCATCAATTTAAAGCTGAGTTAATTTATGTTTTTCCAAAATAAGTTTTGGACTCATGAAAACCATAATGCAGAAAGCCATGTCAATTAGCTTAATCCAAAAATAGTTATTAGCAATAGTAACATCAAATAGGCTTCCTTAATATGATTTTGGGGTTAAAGGAAACATAAAAGTTTTTAAATTTTTTTTGCTGCATATATATAATTTAGATGAGATGAATGATTTTTTCTTTTTTTTCTTTCTTTTTTTTTTTTTTAATACAGGTATAACGGATACAATTGCATAGAGGCGATAACCATAAACATGGACGGCAAAGATTGAAAAAAGTTTGGAGGTGAGAGATGGAGAAGATAAGGTCAATTTTGGGATTTCGTATATCAATCCATATAGATCCCAGATGACATGTCTTTTTAATACACATTGACTGCCACATAAGCAAATATAGAGTCCATATCTGCAAAGTCATCATTCCGGGGTGAGCGCAATAGGCACTTAATTGGTTATTTTAAAATGTTTAAGCATTCAATTAAAAATGTTTTCCTCTCACACACTTAAATAGAAAAAATATAATTATTATACTTTCCGAATTCTAAACCAATTAGCCATATAATATAAAAGTTTAAAAATAAAGAATAATACACTTATAAAATAAAGATAGAACACAATTTTTAATCAAAATTGCGATGATTTTGATAAAATATTTAATTTGTATATCTCAAACATGTGGTCCATGTATGTATTTTTTTTTTATTAAAAATATTGTTAATAATCATCTTTTTATTTTCCCATTACATAATAATTTATTAGTTAAGAAATAAACAATATATCTAAACTAAGCATACAACAATAATAGAAGTTTTCCAACTATATTTTATAATTCTCCCATTCATCAAACCAACCCATGTTTATTTGTTGTTAAAGGATTGAATTAAAAATGTATGTGCCAAATAGTTGAACACTTTTGGAATTTAAATATGTAATTAGTCACATTTGAAAATTGTCCTTGATTCTCACAAAGTTTATTTACATTAATCATTCCTAATTTAAGAATGATTTGAGATATTATACCAAAGTTTTTATATTGTCATAGGATCCAAACTATGATGACTTTGAACTTTAATAATTTTTCAAAAATATTTTGGTGGGTTTACTTACTGGAAACATTTTTCTGTTTTTTATCTTCTGTTTTTTTAAGAAAACAGTCTTTTTAAAAAATGAAAAATACGTTCACTTGATAACAATAAAAATTTATATTTTAATTTAACTTCACAAACATTATTTATAACTTTTATAATATAAAATAAATTTAGAAATTTTTTATGTAAAAGTTTTTGAATTTTTATTATTGATTATTTTATACTAATAATATCATTTTGTAATTTTTTTAAAAATAAATAAAACATTATTTATAACTTTATATAATATAAAATAAATTTTAGAAAATTTGTTTATGTAAAAATTTTGAATTTTTTATTATTGATTATTTATTTACTAAATAATATCCATTTTGTAATTTTTTTAAGAGAGAATAATAATAATATAATTTATTTGTAATAATTAAAAAATTTAATTATTTATTAGCATAATATAATTTTTAATTTATTTAAATATTTTTTTTAAAATTAAAATATTTTATAGAAAAAAATATTTACATTATATTATAATTTTTAATTATGAAAATTAATCGATTTTTTTTAAAAGTGGCAAAACAATTGAAATAACATATTTTTTTGTTATAAAGGAAAACTCTGAAAAATAACTTTAAATTGTTTATAAATTAAATGAAAAAATATATGTCTATTTTTTTAATATTTAATGAAAAACAATAATTTTAATTATGAAAATATCATTTTTTTAAAGTGGAAAACAATTGAAATACATATTTTTTTGTTATAAAGAAAAACTCTGAAAAATAACTTTAAATTGTTTATAAATTAAATGAAAATATATGTCTATTTTTTAATTTATTTAATGCAAAACATTAATTTGTATTTTATTATATATATAACACTATATTTATAAAACATATCTTTAATTATATTATATTACGTTTTATTATGAAGATCGAGAAAATTGGTCGACATTTTACAACTTGCAGGTTTTCCTTCATGTACAGACCAACACATATTGTGGTTAAGACTTGGTCAACAAATATATATTATATATTAGGTGCTTGGTTTGGTTGATACCTATCCTCTCCCAACTCCAATTGCTTCAAATTTGGCAAACTAATTAGGGCCATTGATATAGTTTTCAAAAGAAAAATTATGGCCATTGATATTAAAAGAAGGGAGTGCCATCTTGTCGCGCATATACCAATGCTTTGCTTGCATAACCTTTTTTTCTTCTAGTAGCTTGCTAATCATTGGTTTCATTTTTGTTGTTCTTTCTAGGCAAAGCTTCTTTCTTTTTTTATTCCATCTTTTGGTTCTCTAGTGATTATTAGATAACTGCTATTTCGGGTTTTTTTAAAAAAAAAAAAATTGAAAAGCTAAAGTTCAGATTTCTTAAACACCATAAAATATAAATTTACTCAAAATGCAAGTTATTTTATTTGTATCTGATTTTTTTTTAAATTATCTATACTCATTTTAAATTTGTTTAAATATTTCTTAAGCTGGTATCTTTTTCAAATTTTTAAATTTATTTGTAAAGTCATAAATTTCAAATTTTTACGTCAATATTTTCATAATAATACTTAAATGTGTATATGTGAATAATATTTATAGATACCCACTATCAAATACATTTAATATATATAAGAATTTATTACAAGTATAATTGCTTATATCTACTCCAGGTTGCAATAAATGAATCAAAGGAAATAAAAAATAATTTGCATTTAATTTACAGAGTAAATCAATAAAAATATAAATTTTTATAAAAATTTTATACTTTATCCTTTTTTTTAGATATAATAAAAATATAATTATTTATTTTTATTAATTTAATTCGTAGGTGGAGCGGTTAGCGAATTCTGCGAGAAATAGCCGCTCCCCTTGCCTCCCAAACATATTAAGAATGGAATGGGCCTCAGATGTTAATCATATATTCCTTGCTTCCAAACACATAAAAATTCCTGCCGCCCATTCTGATCAGCAAAGCAAAGCCCAATCCAGAACTTCCCTTATCTAAGCAGATTTCTCAAGTCTTCTCACTCCACATTTTGGGGAGGGAATTAAAAATTCCCCAGCTTTACACAGCTCAATTCGCTTCTTCAATTAACTTGCTTACAGAACAACCATGGCGGGAACTGCAACCTTTACCGTCTCTTCATCACTCTCACTACCTTCTTCTTCATCATCATCAGCAATGTCATCGCTCTCACTCTCATTGAAACCGTCCCATCTTTCAATGCGGATTTTCCCCAAAACACCTTCGCGTCCCATTTTTCCCAGTACGCCTTTCAGTATTCTCCATCGTCTCTACGTTTCATTATTATTACTATTCAGCATTTTTGTTAAAATGCCAATTGAGTTTGTTCTTGTAGGGATTTACGCCTTGTCTAGCAACGATATCAAAGTGGGTACCAACATTGAAGTGGATGGTGCTCCTTGGCGTGTTTTAGGTATTTTCAGCTTTTTATCTTCGTTCCTTCATCTTTGGCTAATTGTATTCATAGAAATTTTTAGTTTTCAATTTCTCTTAACTATAGTATGTAGGTATAGTGATTTTGTGCTAAGGGGGATCTTTGAAATTGTATTACATCTTATTTCTTTGTTGGGTTTGTTGCTTATTGGCCTTGGGTAGAGTTTCTTCATGTGAAGCCTGGAAAGGGGGCAGCATTTGTCCGGACCAAAATGCGGAATTACATAACAGGAAACACTGTTGAGAAAACTTTTCGAGCTGGAAGTGCGGTAATTTCTTTCGAACTGAAACTGGATCTACTAATATGCATATGCTAATTTGCTATTAAGTTTATGTGGGAATTCCCTATATTTTAAACTTGATTTATCAAATTCTTTTCCAGAATTAATTCAAATTGGTGTAGAATATAGATGAATTGAATGCTATGTTAATAGCCCTATCTTCATCTTGCTCATTCTATAGTTTACTTCTAGTGTTCTAGCTGAATGCGCAGGCTTACAGTTATTATAAACTGACGTTTTGAAAATTTGCCACATATTTGAATCATGCCACTATAGACAGTATAATTGTTCAGTCTCAACCTGTGGCATCCGCATGTTTCATTTCCTTATTATATATTTGGTCGATAGGGTCAAGGATAATTCTAATATATGAGGCTCTTTTCTCAGGTTTTGCTCATATGTTTTTGTGTGCTACTGTTTCACCAGATTGAAGATGCAGATGTGTTCAAAGAGACAAAGCAGTTCACATACAAAGATGGTGCTCAATTTGTCTTCATGGACCTGGTATGCTCTCCATCTATATAATGTAATTTGTTTTGTGATGGAGATTTTACAATCTTGTATACCTGTCATCCTGCTCAAGGATTTTGCAATTCTAATTGGTTATGCATGAATACTCTATATTGCACTTTATAACCATCATTTTTCTATAATGGCAATGAAAAACTTAATAGTAAATTTCAGATCAAAATCCATTTTTTCAATTAGTTCCTATTCACATTGCACTAAACCATTTATTTTATTTTTATTGAAAAAAAAAAAAGACGTACCATATTTTTTCCTAATCTCAAATTCTTTGTATTTGACCTTTTACAGAACACCTTTGAAGAATTTCGTCTCAACGAGTCAGATGTTGGAGATAAGACGAAGTGGCTGAAAGAGGGAATGGACTGCAATTTGCTCTTTTGGAAGGGAAAAGTATTTCTCAGTTGCTTTCAACTTATTCTCACCTGTAAACTGTAATTGTCATACATTTATATGGAATGGCATTATCACTTCTAAGAACTTTCAAGAGGGGTTTTTAGGAGACTTCTGAAGTTTGTGCTAAGAAAGATAATTGTTACTTTTCTACTGTATTCATAGTTGTTTTCATGTAATTGCATGTTGGTAAATGGTTGGTAATGGCATTCATTTGCCAAAATGAGTATTACTTTGGTGCTAATGCCTAGCAATGTGTTTGTTCATATGTTTGCAGGTTATAGATTTTGAACTTCCAATCACAGTAAAGCTGACTGTAGTTGATGCTGATCCTGGTCTCAAAGGGGACACTGCTCAAGGTAATGTCATCTGGCTTTATTTAAGAAGAATCAAGGGACAAGGCATTCACTTTTTTGAAAAAGCTTATTGATTAACTGGTTATTGAGTAATAAAAGTCAACAGGCCTGTAATTGTGTTGAAGTTTCCTTGAATGTGATATAATGCATTAACAGGATTATAGCAGATTAGAAAATAAATCAGCGTTGTCATTAGTATTATTAACTAGGGTTCCTAATGTGCACAATTTCCATGGTAATGGAAAACCTGCTCATATACCAAAAGCTATTACAAAGTTGCTTTAATCTTTTATTTTATTTACTAATCACAGCATGTTTCCTTTCCTCTTTTCCCTTGGCCTTACTACGGGAGAAATAAATTGTTGCAGGTGGAACAAAACCAGTTACTCTAGACACAGGTGCTGTGGTTAATGTGCCCCTGTTCATTAACATCGGTGAAGAAATCTTGATAGACACAAGAACAGGTCAATACATGAGCCGGGCATAAGTTATAGTCCAGAATTACTTTGTCAATCACATTTTGATAGTAGAAGAGTTGTAAAGCAGAGTTTCCCCGTTTTAAGTAAGAAAATTCAATTGAGCTTGTATTTGTCGGAAAATTTTCTTTAGTGTACTTTAGGGTATCTTATGGTAGAAATAGATGATATTTTGCCTTCCAGGCAAAGTGAGAAGGAATTCTAGATCAAAATTACAAAGTTGCTTTACAGCAATTATGGTTCTTGATTGTTTCATAAAGTTAACAGCAAGTAATACAATTATTGGTCCCATTTCTGGATGAAAGGTAACCTCAAAAAATTATCCAGCAACTGTATTAACATAACTAATTGTTGATGAGTAATTTCTCATGTAGCGGCATTTGGTTAGGAACTACACCTCGAACCAACGCCGAACCATAGACATTACTAGCCCCCAAAAACCTTCTTTGTCGATTCAATTCCTGAATCATAAGATCATAAGATGTTGTATTTGGGATTTTATGAGTTTCATACATTAGAACGAGGACCAAAATTGCCTTCTCAACCCTTCCTTTTGTGCAAAATGCTCGAATTACACTGTTTATGGTGGTTAAACTTGGAATATACCCAAATTTAATCATCTTTTGCAAACTGACTAAAGCATCATCAACCTTCTTCCCCATAGAAAAAGCCTGGATTACTAGATTGTATGTGCTATGGTCCATAACAAATGCTCTTTTTGTCATTTTATCGAACACTTGATAGGCATCTTCCAATAGGTCATTTTCTTTCAAGAATTTCCTACACAAACCTCTCAGAAGATTGTTCATTAACCTCTCATCCACTTCAAAACCATTCCTCACCATTTCCTTATAAATTCTAAGAGCTGTTCTGATTTTTCTCCACATCAACAAACCATGTAGCAGAGTGCTATAGCTAATATAATCAGGCCTACAATTTATCTGTTTCATTTTCTTTAACACACCAATTCCTTCAAGTGGTCTCCCTTCTCTGCTAAACCCATCAAACAGAGTATTAAAAGTGACAATATTTGGTTTCAAGCCTATCTCCATAGCTTCATTAAGCAACTCCATCGCCTCATCTGTTCTACCAACTTTACAAAAACCATCCATCAAAGCGGTGTATGTATAAACATCAGCGTCAATTGACGATTTCTTGATATCTTCCATTAGTTCAAAAGCTTCCTCTACTCTCCCTACAAAACACAATCCTTTCAACAAGCAATTATATGTTTGAATACTTGGCCTACACCCAATTCTGCCCATGACTTCAAAGACTTCAAAAGCTTTTTGTAACTTACCCTTTTTGCAAAATGAATTGATCAATGTGGTAAAAGTAGCCAAATTGGGATGTAACCCGTTTTCCACCATGTGGTCTAAAACCCTTCTAGCCTCATCAACATTTTCTATTTTGCAGTAGGACCTGATAAGTATACAATATGTCCAACAGTCTGGTGCTAAACCATAAGATGATATGCTAGAATAAAATTTGAAAGCAAGCTCGTGCTCACTGGCTATGACTAGAGCCATAAGAAGATCATTAAACACTGCTGTGCTACAAATTTTGCCATTTTTGGTAAAAATGTCAAGGATAGTTGTTTTATCTTTACTGGGTAATGCTTTAATTGCAGCTACGAAATTCTCCACCTGCAATCTCCTAGTTTTCTCAATGGTTTCTGGGTTCTTTTGTTGGATGGGTAGAAGCCCGTTATTGTGTTTCACAACCAAGGTGATTCCTTTCTTGTCAATTAAATGGGATAATCGTTTTGGGTATGCCATGGCATTTTTGTCAGCAATTCCTGCAGTGAATAATGATAATTTTGGAAGGAAAATGAGATTGGTTGCTGGGCGTTCTCTATAGTTCAAATTAAAGGTATTGCCAAGGAAAAGAGGTTGAAGAAGATGGTGTTGTGCTATAGCGTATGGTGAAGGCATTTGCAGAGAGGGAAAGAGAATGGTCCAGTGGTTTTCTCCGATTCCTATTGTTATTTACATTCCGTCAAGCAAACTAATAAGATAAAAAGAAGCACCGAAAGGGCCACGGGCAATTTTCCTAAACGGTGCAAACTTGAAAAATAATTGCAAAAAGGATACTTTTGCAAGTGAGTCTCAAACTATTATATAGGAAATTAGGAATGTAGGTAGGTCGACTTACTCCATTCCAATCCAGATTAGAGATTTAGATTTTAGACATCCGAATTCGCTTAAAAATTCAATTTCATTAGTCGAAGCCATCTCAAAATTTGTTGCAATTACCCATCTAATATAGGAATTCGTTTAAATATTCATTTAACACTAACAAAATTATTACCTTTCAAAAAAAAAAAAAAACACTAAACAAAATTTTTTATTTTTTGAAGATAAAAGAATAAGTAAAAATCTTAGAATTCTATTTTGACTGGATAGAAAAATATATTATCTGTGTTAAGTATAATTACGGTACTAATCATAATTAAGAGGTATATCTATATTTTTTATGAAAAATAATTATTTTTAATATTTTAAAATATTAATTAAATAAGTAATGGATAGCAGGTAGTCGAACTTGGCTCAAAGCCTACATGGGTACTAGAATTTTGACAGATAAAAAATTGACCATATCATAAAATTTATAAATTGTGACATGGTCTCAATTCCATTGTTATCATAATAGAATTTAAACATATAATTATATTCTTCTCAAAGAAAAATACAAAGATGCCCTTTAAATTCACGGATTCTATTTCAATCAAATTATAGAAATTCATGAATTTTATATTTCACAAATTTTATGAATTCCATAAATTTTACACGTACTCGATTCTCATCATCACTTTTATCCAATAGCGAGTATTTTCCATTAAATATTTAGTCTATTAGTATAATATTAACTAAAATACTAATGATGATTAGTGAAATATTTAGGCAAATAAAGCAGAATGTTGAACAGTGCCCTCTGCCCTGTCCCATTGGATTCTCATTTCTTCACCCAATCTTCCAACTTTATCAGACATACTCTTTGCACATGCCATAGTCACAGACTCATAGTCAAGCCTTCAAAGTGCACTTGCTTACTACTTTTCAAAAGCAAATCGAACAACCACTGTATACTGTATACAGAAGAATCATCATAATGCAGATTATAAGAAAGAAGAATTAGAACCTTAATGATCTGCTAAGTGTCTTCCAAGTCTTAGGGTTTTTTGGATCCGCCACTCGTTGTGGTACTTCCGTTTCGTCTCCGTTGGACTTGGCCATGCCTTTTCTTCTACCAAACATCGGTTTGAATAACTTCTTTAACACTTTATTGAAACCTGATCCATGGCGACGCCGTCCTTGTCGCACCTCCGTCGTGACCAATGGCGGTGGAGCTCCACCATTGAGAGTTGGAGGAATATAACGAGGCCGACCGGTTCCAGGTTCTGAGAGACTCCGACCGAGAATGGCTTGGTTCAATTGGACCTCAAAAGAGAGTCGTTCGAACTGGTCCAATAGATTGCTCTGCTCATCTCCAAATCTTTTGAGAACCACCGAGATTTCGTCCATTAATTTCATGTTTTAATCTGAAGAGAACACTCTGCTTGTGTTTATAGCGTAGACAGAGAGACCTGAAATGGAAGTTTATGCGTTCTTTAATATATTTTCTTCCTTCTTTCCACTTTTAAACGTGGATTCAGCAAGCTGAGTGCTTTATAAGCCAAGCTGACGAACAGAACTAACTGACTTCTCCAATCAAAGTATCAGAATACTCCAAAAACGTCAGCGCATTTAGCTTTCTTTTATGTATTATATTATTAAATAAATTATGAAACAAGAAAGTATTATAAAAACAATTAACTTGAGAGAACTCGGTCTATGACCCTATTCATGAACTAAACTGACGAATAAGGCTATAAATGAGGTCTAAGCAAATTTAATCCTGTCACAACATTCTCTTTTAAAATTTGTATATAGATCTGCTCATACATTAAACCAAATTTAAGTATTTTATTAAAGTAATAATTATTTAAAAATTCTTCACGAATTGACTTAATTTATGAGTGAATTCATATCCAAATATAAACAAGTCTCGTTCGATAATTAATAATTCTCATACACTATATGTAAGTTAGCACATCAATAATTCTTATCCTTTATAGTAGTAATTTTTATAAAAAAATTATAAATATATGTTTATATATATTTGTAATTTATTATAAACTTATAAATTATAAGTACATGTGGCTGTACATTGTCTATAGCAAAATTTTTAATTTTATTCATTACAAGATAAATAATAATCATTTTATCACCGATCTTTGAAAATTCTTTGCCCCTTGACACAAGTCATATTAATGAAGCAAAAATAAATAAATAAATAAATAAATAAAAATAAAAAATCGTTATCTTTGATTAGCCAAATCTTTCCAAATTCTTCAATTGACTTTTATTTAAGATACAATTTCATTGATCTAAAAACCAGAAATGATGGATGCCTCACCTCCATTTTATTCTTGGTTCAATAAAATTTCATTTTTCTTAAACTTCTTTAAAGTCTTGAATTTTAAATATATAATTTTAAATTTGTTCAAACACATGAATATCGATTATACTAAAATAATCACCAAACAAAATATAATTTTCATGGAATTACCAATTCTTATGCCGTATCAATATAGTTGGAGATTATGGGAAGAAATTTAAGAAAATTTTTTAATTTGGTATTTTTTTTTTTTTTCATTTTTATATTGAGATCTTTTAGTATGATTAAAAAGCTCATTTTATTTAAAAAAAAAAAAAGAGTTGATAATACTGATATTTTAATTCTCATTTATTAATTGGTTTTAAGCAATGCGGGTAGAGAACAAGTTACAGTGTTGCACTTTATTCCCTTTGTATGAGATTGAGAGAACATTTTATTCCTCAGCTAGTTAGCATTTATCTTTTTCTTTAACATTCTTGTTTCACACAAAAGTACGTTGATACTCAAGAAACTTCCTTTTCACAAGTGGGATTGACAAGACAAATGGAGAGTAACTGGCCTTCTTCTCTAACTCTTTTTGGCATTGGTTCCCCTCTTATTAGCAAACCTAGGCCTAAGATGGCCCACTTTCTATTTGTAATATAGCTTCACAATCCACAATCCACGTTTTATCCAATTGATATGATTGCGCTGGATAATAAGTTTTTAAATAGTTTTTATCGTTTCTATTGGTAAAAAATACTAAACATTATTCTCTCTATTTTAAAAAAATAATGCACATTTTTTTTTAGTTAGTCTTAAAATATAGTCTATTTTTCTTGTATTATAGTTAATCTTTAAATTGTTTATTATACCCTTATTAAATTTTATTTTATTTTCAATAACTCTTACTTATTGTTCTAATATAATAATTACTCATATGTTATTTAAGATGGATATAATAGGAAAATTATATGAATAAAATTATTCTTCATCCATATAATTGTTACCATCTTAATCTGTGTAAAAATAGAAAATTGATTATCTTTTTGGGACGGAGGAAGTATTTTTTATAGTTTAATAACATAGGGTTTGAACTAACTTTTAGAAGTCAAAGGTAGTGTTTTATAAAAACTTAAACCACGTAACTTTTTAACTTTTAGCATTTTATGAAAAGTTATTCAAATAGGTAACAAATTAAACGCTAATAAAACAATTAACAACTATCAAAACAGCTAATTTAGTCCAACATATCCTAAGTATTCGTTATAATCTTTCTTCAATACATTGAGGGATTCAAATCCAAGAGATTGACTAACTACCTTAAGCCATATAATCCTCATTATAATTTTTTTTTTTTAACCATTCATTAACCATATCTTATTGGCTTGATTAATTCAGATTCGCGTCGGATAGACCTATAAATAGAGCAAAACTCTTTCTCCGGAGTTTTTTAAAATGACTCCATATCCAGATCCAAATTCGATACTTCTAATTAGAGAAAATGAATCCTTATATTCCTATCTCACTTTTCGAGGATAATCAACATTATAATTTGATCCATATAGGACACCTTGACAATAAAATAATTTTTTTCAATATATTAGACAGATGTAAGCCTGCGTTCTTTAGATAATCTAAAAAAAGAAAATCTCAGTACATGTAACAATCCTAACTTTTCCACAGCAAATTCTTAAATTTGGAATGTTTAAATTAAGTTATTTTAGCAATAACTTTGGATATTTTTTATAAGTTTTGAAATAAATTTATTTTATTTGTAAGGTTTAAATTTTTGTTTATGAAATTGTTTTTTGTTTTTTAAAAAATATTATTTAAAAGTTATTTGAGTTCATCAATTGCAAATCATAATCCATTAGAATTTAATTTACAGTTTCAAAACAAAAAAACCCATTGGATAATGCGAGTTTATAAATACAAAACAGGCCCAAAAGATGAAGGGATCTCTCTACCCAAAAGCCCTAAACTGACCCAGTGGCGGCCCAATTCGAATTGGTACCCACCTGCAGTTGGATCTACGTCCACCGATCGAAGTCTCTGTTACAGCAAGCAAACAGATTCTGGCAGAGTCGATCATCTTCACGTCCCAAACCTTACGGCTTGCCCGCAAATCGAATCCATTATCCATTTAAGTTCTAAATTATCTGCAAACAGAATCTTGCAAATTCCACTTTTTGTTTGCGTTATTACCAGAAAGCTCCCTTGATATTCATCCAATATTCTTTGCCTGCGTTAAGTCTAAGCTTTTTGGCTGAAATTATTCTAATTTCGTTTCAGTTTTCATTCCTGGAAATTCGCTAACGCTACTATTAATCTTTTGGCAATGGATAAGGGATTCTATTTTGGTATTTGATCTTATAAGCTCAGAGCTAGAATGGATAGAAATGGAATTGTGGCCGTTTTTGTGTTGGTTTTGATTGTTGCCGATGTTTCCAATGCTTCTTTGTTATCGGCGTTTCAGAGATTCGTAACCCTGGCTTCTACGGGTAGCTCTGATGCAAATCAAGTAAATCTCTCTATTTGTTGTGCTCTTTTTTTTTTCCAATTACTTTATCAGCGGAGACAATAATTTAATTGTATATGCTTGGTTTATTTGTTTGTTTGTTTATAAGGTTTCTCCGTCGCCAAGTCCAGATCCTTTACAAACTGGTACTAAGACGACGACATCAAATGAGACAAATTCGAAGGGTCCAAAGGTACCAGACAACTCTAACAATGTCAATAATACTTCAAAGGTTTCGCGTGATACTGGGATGGTGAATCCACCTCCTCAAAATGAAGGGGGTATTGGGAAGACCTATGAAACAATGAATAAGAACGAGGGTAAAATGGATTCACAGTCAGAAGGTGGTCTGAATTGTACTGGGCTGTCTCGAAGATGCAAGGATCGGAATTCGTTGGTTGCTTGCATACTTAATTATGAAGATGGTAATTGACATTAGATTTTTAATGTTTTGCAACTTGTTTGAGTTACAAGTTAGTAGCTTCTTCAAGTGAATTTGCTCTTCTTTAAGTATTAATATGAAGAAATGTTTTTGCTTGCATAGGGACTATATTTGGCTTGAAAACTAATCTAAAGAGTACATTAAGTTGCCAGTAGTTGTAGTTTGTGATATCAAACCAATCAAAACCGTGTAGTGGGAATATTTGACTGAATTTTATAGGCCACTTGTCTTGGGTGCTAGTGGCATTGCTTCACTGTTTCATAGGACGAGACCAACTGACTTTGCTGTCCAAGTGTCATGGTGTTAACCCTGCGTGAAGCAGGCGCAGATTATAGTCCAGAAATTTTATGGTGGGGAAAAGTGATAAGAAAACATGAATTGGTGGAATATAGGATTGAAGGGCGCAGAGGGGTGGGGGTGGGGAGGGCTCATTTTTATATTCCTTTTTCATGAGTAAAGGAATGAAAGTTCGTTGAGGTATATTATTAGATCAAGCTCCCTGGTTAACTTGGTTAGGAAACTGGCATCTCTCTGGTGAAAAGAGTTAGATATCTCCTTTGATTTACTAGTTTTATCTACAATGTGGGGTCAAAGAAAACCATAGCGTGTCTCTCTCTTGGTCCTGAGATTAGTAAATGCTCAGGATGATGTGATAACTAATAAAGAACCTGTGTTTGATCACGATGGATGATGACACCAAGTTATGATGGATATTTTTTATGTCTGATCCATCAATATATAGGTGGAATTCATACACATTATATGTACCTCTGTCTTATTATGTAAGGAATATAGGAGCTTAAACACTTACTAACTCAAAAAATGATTCCATGGAAGCAGTTTTGATTGAAGTATTTGCTGTGGTCATGTGAACGTTAATACTTAAGACAATTTGCTTTGAGTATATTCCAGTCTACAAGTTTGATGTAGGATTGCTATAATAAAATAATACCATATTCCTTCAGAGACTCTCATTTCTATATTTTTAAAGCAAAGTCATCTCTACTTCCAATGTTATGTTTACAGGAAGCCCATTGTAAAATAAAATCTCTTCTAATTAAATGCTTGATCTCATGATATCTTAGCTAGATTTCAATATGTCATCAATGAAACTTCATCATACTGACCTTTTGTCTTTATAACCACAGTATAGGTTAGTTAGGTCTTTTTTGCTTTCTCTCTCTTCAAATTAAGACCGAAAAAAGTACTTTCTTCTTCTTATGTAGTTATTTAGAAGGTTTATATACCAAATTCTCCGAACAGAAGTGTTATGTCTATTAGTTTGTAAGCATAGTTGTCAAATTGAGAATCGGAATTCTTATTTTTAAAATCGAGAATCAAATCAAATCATAAGGTTCAATATAATTTTTCAAAGCTGATTAAAAATCATACTTATACATTTAGGGATATATTTCCCATTTATTTTATCAAAAGATACCCATAAATTTAATTGCACAAATAATGTATTTCTATAAATTTCAATTCCAAATCATTTACTAAGCGCAAAATGAAAAAGAACCTAATGACTTGTGTAGTTGCCAAGTTTAAAATATAAAACATGAAGCCTTTAAATTTCCTATCTAAATCCATATTTATTCATTATTATTTCCAAATACAAGTCATCTTCATCTTCAATATAATTATATCCTCTTGCTCTTCTTCTTCTTCTACATTGACTTTTCCAACTATTTTGTTAGGTATGAGAATTGACTTGAACCGTAAGATTTGAATCGCTTGAATCATAAGATTCATGATCAACTCTGATTCACCCATAAGATTCAAATAATTTAGTACGAAAATTGAATTGAATCATAAGGTTTAAATCACGAATTGTAAGATTCTGATAACACTGATTGTAAGTCAAACCTTCATGGGATGACTCACGTCTCGCAAGGCCATATGATGACTACTGTCCTTGCAATAAGGAATGAGTAAATTTGTGGGAATATAGGAGTAGCGCTCATTGAAGATGAGAGAAGCAATTGGGGTGTTTTAAGTAAATGTATTATAAGCAATAAATGGACTGGTACATAAGCTGGTGGCATGCGCATCAAAGTTGCAAGAAATAAAACAATGGTTGACCAAGAATAATCTAGAATTGTATGTGGTGAAGTAGTAAACCATAGTTTGTGGTTTTCAAAGATGTAGCCCAACACTAAATGAAGCAGAGAAATATATATCCCCAATGTCAACTACATTAATTATGGTTTTCCCATGTTGCAAGGAAATCTGAGTTCCTGTAGTTCTCTTTATAACTATAGTTCTAGACATGTCCACCTGAGTGGTAGAGAACTACGAAGTACCAATGGACTTTAAGGAATACTGGAATAATAACCAAGCATTAGCTTAGTCTTCCTCAATAGTTGCTAGGATTGTTGTTAGGTGTTCCAATCTAAAGACTAGATTGCAGCACTAGGCCTCCCTCAACTCCAGAAGAATCAAGGTATTGGACCTACAAAGGAGAGTACTATTTTAGCATTCTTTAGAGCTGTCTTAGCAATCCCTTATATCTTACTGCCCATTGGCTTGCTCCTTGGCTGATCTCCAATTCCTTAGATAAAGAGAAAAGTATTTAGTTAGGATTTTTTGACACCCTTATTGGCTGGTTACGCATGACAGTTTTATATATAAAATTGCTTTTCCATTTTCATTATTCAAATTTTTTATTTCATGAATTTTGAAATGTTTTAATGTCCTGAATCTATTTTTGTAATGGGACTCTGGAAGACTGTTCTATGGAGATTGTGGGTCTAGAGCTCAATACTTTTGTTTTTTCTTTCTTCCCTCATGTATATTAAAGATATGAAATCGATAAACTTGATCTAAATTAATAATCCACATTTTAGCATATGCGAGATGTTGGCTTCTGTTGATTGACAGTGGCAACATAATGTCATTTCTACTTGTGAAGGGGTCTTGCTTAATTGCAACTCCATGTTAATTTGTTATGTCTTCTTGTCTCGAAGCTATTAGTGATTCATTCTTCTCTTATGTATTTCTACTTCCCAAACACAGAGCAGACTTCAACATGAAGATGAAATCCGTATGCATTGGTAGTGTCGTATGGTACATCTGTGTGGTCATTAGGACATTCCTGAATACAGAAGATTTGCTGTGTGATAATTTTAGATATATGTTGATGTCTGCTGGCTAGTCTTTAGATAAGTGGAGAGTATCTAATAAAATTGTTCATCTTTCTCTTTAATATATTCTTATATTATTAACAAAATAATGGTGTATTGAAGATTAGTATTGCGACCTATCCTTTATAAAGATATCGTCTGCTTTTAGTATTAGGTATATTATACTGGTGCTTATGTTATTGTATTTATGGCAATAGATGGCTAGAAGCTTAAATTGGCACTTTTGGTTGCAATTTTATGCTAAATTTACTCATCTGCCTTTTGGCTTTGCCAGCTTCTACATCGCAAGCAGGTAGGATATGTGAGCAGTGAAATTACTTCCATTTACAGCTGCCTTACATATGTTCTAATTGACTACGAAAATTATGTTGTCATTTCACAGGTATAGTTATTGAATAGAGATAGTTTTGTTATTAATAACCTAGTGCTGGATTATGCATTCAACAAATTATGTTCTGATCATTCTTGAGTTGATTGGATATATGCGACAATGTGATATTTCCTATAGGCTTACACATTTATTATATGTACCATTTTCAGATAATCAATTATCCCAATTTCCATATTCTTTATAGGGCACAACAAATTGGTGGTTCTAGTCCAGAATGAAGGAAAGAGTTTCTTAAAAGTGGATCTTTCTGCTCCAAATCCCATCGACAATGCTTTGATTGAAATACCCAAATACGAGACAAAAAAGGTATGGATAGTTTTCTGTTTTTCATTTTTATTTAATCCATGTGGAATTGTCATGAAATATAATATAAAGTGGTATAAGTTTTGGAAGACTGGCCAGTGGAATTAAGTAAACCAAAGAAAAGGAACTGAAATTAAGTTGTTTCCGATAACTTGCCTCCTGTCCGTATTGAGAGCATGATTCTGAAGTCAGCAGCCGCTCATGATATCACCGAATCTATGTATTAAGTAATAATACCTGGAAGATATGAGTTATAATAATTTGATTTGTGGGTTTTAGCACATTGATGGGCTGAGGGACTAAAAAAGGAGTGTTTTTTTTTTTTTATAACTGTCAATTGACATGTGAGATGGAGATCCTGGCTTTATTTGGTCTGCTGCAATTTGATGAAAAGGCTGCTGATTAATAGTATTTTAACTGTTGCATCACTGAAATAACAAGGATTAGATATGTCTAGAGAAGGTCCCTGCATTTTTCCCCAATTTTGCTGAGTGGATGGAAAATGCATGGGATTTAAACTCACTTTTGGTGAGATTGTAGTAAAAGCTTGTCGCTGTTTGCAGTTCATGGGTTCCTGTTTTAGCATTATAGGCTGAGTTTCCTTTTTGTTTTCAGATCAGTTTATCTGCTGGTTACAGCAGTGAAGTGATATTAAAAGCTGGACATGGGGAATGTATTCTGCATACTGATCTTCCTGTATCTCGGGGAAACTTTTTCTTTCACCTCCCTTCTTATGAGAACATAATAACTCCTATTAATGGTGCCTACTTCTTAATTCTCACGGTGATACTTATTGGAGGATTATGGGCTTGGTGCTTATTTAGAAAGAGGAGTCGGCAGGATGGCATTCCTTATCAAGAACTAGAGATGAGTTTGCCAGAATCTGCTGTGGCAAACAATGAAGCAGAAGGTTGGGACCAGGGTTGGGATGATGACTGGGATGAGGAAAATGCAGTGAAGTCACCAGCAGCACGCCATTCAGGAAGTATATCGGCCAATGGCCTGACTTCTAGGTCTCTAAAGAAAGACGGATGGGAAAATGACTGGGATGATTAGGATTCTTCAATGAGAAAAGAGAGACTTCTCCTACCCAGCAGGAGAAACAAAAAGAAAAGAAGAAAAGTTGTGAAATTTAGGCGATGAAGTATTGGCTGTAAATCATTCTCACACTCGTCAGCATGACAGTTATAGTTTTCATGTAAAATTAAGAGTCTCAGAGAGGTTATTTCATTTCTGAAGCACAGGAGTGATGTATCTTTCTCTGCTTTTTGTGAAATACAAGTTGTTCTTGGCTAGATATTTTTCTTTTTAGGTTAATTCTTAACAGTCTTTTACAAATATTGCACCATATGATTTGGTTTTCTCATATTGCATAAAATGTGTGGCTACCACCTAACACATATATAACGGGACGAACGCTAAAGGGGATCAAGTTTTGTGGCTCTCTTGATTATTGTTAGATTGGGTTTAACAGCTAACTCAAGCAAGCAGTGGTGCCTGTCATTTCTAGCATCCACTCAAGGTACTTTGCTCCCATCATGGATGATTGGATATGGCTGCAAGTAAAGTCTGCGATCCCAACGAATTGGTTCACATCACGTCTATATGATAATTTCTTTTTTAAAGTTCCTGTTCGAGAACTTGTAGGTGCAGGTAAATCAATGGCTGCAATTGTGATGATGATGCATGATTATCTAGACCGAGTTCATGTGAATCTCTTTTATCTAAATAGATATCATATTATTTGTTAAATTAAATCATGTTACAATTTTGGATAAATAACATTTAATTTCTCTATTTGGTCATACTTACAACTTTACCCTTTTTATTTAATACATTCTTGAGATTTGATATTTCTATCCAATAAAATGTCATCTTAGAAGTTATTCACATTTTTTTTTTTTAATTCAAAGGGAAGCATAACAGGCCAAAAGATCATTGTCGCCACGAGTCAAGAGGTTCCAAATCTGATATCTCACACCCTACATATATACGAGGAGACAATACCTGACAGAAGTTTGCATTTAATATAGTGGCTTGTTAACATATAATAATGAAATACATTAAAATAATAATATTAGACTCCTAAATAAATTTAAATTAACAAACAAGATAGGATTCATAATCCTTATCTTAATATATCTGCTTTAGATTCAGTATAAATACTCCAAGTTTGCGCCATTCAGGGTTTATACATAATAGTCTACATCTGAAATTCTGAAAGCTTAACATGGCTATTTAATTGCAATAATGACATTCTTATACAGTGGATTAAATAATTTAATAAGTTTTATGGACTAATTAATGTATTATTAAATAAGAAATTTTAGGGACTAACTAGTGTATTTAGCAGATAAGAAAAATAACATTGTAATGGTAGTTAAATTTCCGGAACTAAATAATTATTTATCCTTAAAATTTTCATGAAAGGAAAGATTTCACTTTATGGGAGGGAGACTCGAGCTAGACAAACTTTTGCCTTGATGATTCTCGTTCGTGTGAATAAAAGCTTAGGCCTCAAGGGCCGATTTAAAAAATAACATTGTCCAAATGAAAGATGAAGGCATAATCTTTGTTCAAGTGGCCAATCAGCACGTGAGAATTTTAGATTTTTAATTTTTAAATGTGAAGAGTTAGAATTATATATATCGTTCTCTAAAAATGGTAAAAATCACTTCACTTACCTAAATTTATCATTGTTAAAAAGGCTTACCTGATATAACTTTTAATCAAAATGTAACAACTTATCTGAGAAAACAAAAGAAAAGAAAAGAAAAGAGAAAATAGAAATATCTCTCATTTTGAGAACTATTGAAATTATAAATAAAATAAGATTTTAGGAAATCACTCATTTTAATAAATAAGAGTCTTTAAAGTATTTTCATCAAATTTTCTAATGAAATAAAAACATAATTTTAATTTTGACTGAATTGAAAATGCTAATGAGAGTTTGTGTTAACAAGGGAATTGCAAATGAAGTTTTATCACACAGTTCCATAGAAATTTTGCATGGGATCAAAAGGAGCATTATCCCAATCCCTCACAAATTAAAATTCCACTATGAATGAAAATGGTGGGGTAAGAGGTCTCATTCTGTCACTTGATTAAGCAAAATATATACGTAGACAAAGGTAAAATGTGGTTACTTTATCTATTTTGTATGCGTAAAGCAACATTTGTATAGCTCTTTTTTCCAACTGATTACCCCTTAATTGATTATTTTTATTTTTGTCAAGGTAAAGCAAGTGAGCAACAAAACATAATTCCAAGTTAAGTTTTCATCCATCTTAAGGCTGCCTGTCAAGGCTTGACTCCATTCCAAACAAAAGGCAAATGCAAGTTGCTTGAATGATGGCTATCTAAGTCTAGACATAAAAATGGTCTGCTCAAAATTTTGCAACGTAAAAAAAATTTATTTTTAATTATCTAATTTTACTTAAAAATGGTTTAGAACCTTCCTTTTGTTTCAAAGTTTCGTTCTTGGTATTCAGGAAATGCAAATAGGAAAGTGGTATTGCACAACCATTATTATAGGAGAAGGTGTCAAGCTTTTCCCCTCATTAGGGCACAAGCAATAAGCAATTAAAATCATGAAAAGTTGCCACTTCAAAGACACAACATAATTGCCATGCACTAATATCTCCACTCAAAAAGTGCAAACATGGGTGCTTTTATAGGAGACCCATGTGACTTGCTTTGATGATGTCCAAACCCAATTTTTCTTTTTATGTTTTCCTTTTATATATATATAATGGGTTCCCTTTTTTGGGGTCCAACACCCATTTGATTAAGCCGAACTTAACATCAAAGATTTAATAATTAACTCTACTTGTGGATACATTTTGTTTATGATATTTTAAAGAAGAGATACCATGTGTGAAGTAACTTTGAAAGAGTGCTTTGGTAGCATAATTAAGTAGCATTTCTTTTTGTTGTATATACTATAATTAAGATGAGTTGGTAGATACAAGTGTGAGAATCACTCCTTTCAAAAAAAAAAAATCATAATTTCAATAAATAATTATATAAAAAAGAATAGTCCAGCTCCAATCCAAAAATCAAATTCCAATTTCAATAGTTATGCTTGTACATCTAACTTGTCACACCGTTTGAATACTCTAATATTGGTGAAGTTCTGATATTGACTTATTATATATTATATGATTCTCCTTTCATTTTCTTGTTTCACGTTCAGGACTCTGGTCCCCAAGCATCTAGGAAAAGGAAAATGCCAAGGGAAGGGCATTTTTTCTTTAACATCCATTCTTTTCAAAGCCCTGTTTGATTTCTTGTATTATTTTTATTTTATCTGTCAACTTATCCTTTTGATCATCAAGTTCAGTCTCCACGTGGCTTTTAGCCAAAACTTTCATTATATTTGAATAGAAACAATAAGATGTGTATCAGAATGAGTCCCACCAACAATATGAAACAGACATCGTAATAAGAACAAAAGATAGATTCAGTCAAGACAAGTATGATCTGCTTGCTCTATAAGAGAGCAATATCATTGATACCATATCTCAAGTGCTCCATATCCGACCGGTGAAAAAGAATCCGGTAACAAAAACTGTGATAGAAATAAGAGAATACAAGGGGGAAAAAGACACAAACAAAATTACAATAACAAATAAGTATTTGTAGGGGGAATATACTCTTTTCATCTTTTTGAACAAACAAACCGGATTCTTGTTCGCCGGAGAACACAGTTTTTTGTATGTTTCTTGAACTCTGTGGGTTCAACTCATTCCAACTCCTCTTGACCCTCTGCAGGACATTGGATTAGCTCTAAAATATTGACCACTTCCTCCATATCTGGCCTGTTTGATGGCACTTGAGATGCACATATTAAACCAAGTTTTATTACCGGAATTGCCTCTTCTGCAGGAAAATTTCCTCGAAGCTTTCCATCAATACATTCCTCCACCCTGCCATCCTCTAGAGCTCCCCTCACCATGTCGCACAGGACCACAACATCATCCTCCATATATTCCACTGGTCTCTTACCTGTCACCACCTCCAAAACTAAGATCCCAAACCCATAAACATCACATTTCTCAGTTATCTTCACAGTGCGACAAGCAAACTCAGGAGCCATGTAGCCTAATGCACTCTGGATTTTGCTGCTTAGGATGCAACGATCCAGCATTGGTAACAGTCTTGCCAAGCCAAAGTCTCCCACTTTTGGCTCACCAGAATCATCTATCAGAATGTTGGTTGATTTTAGATTATAGTGAATTACGTTCATATGATGCAAATGGGCCAAACCTTTCGCTATCCCTCGAATTATGTTGAATCTCTGTCTCCAGGACAAGCAGTTTGTGGTGGGTCCATCATGGAGGTGTTTATACAAACTTCCACTGGATATGTATTCATAAATAAGGAGTTGCAAAGATGGAGTCCAATAGTAACCTTCCAGTGCCACGAGATTATGGTGCCTAATCTTTCCAAGTCTTGTTACTTCCCTCTCAAATTCTTCCTGGGACTTGATTAAACTCGAAACTGTTAGCTTCTTTATGGCAACTGAACGACCATCTCGAAGTATTGTTCGGTAAACAATGCCAAATCCACCACGACCAAGTTCACAGTCCTTGTTGAGTAATGCATGGGCCCCAGCAACAAAATCAGCATCTCCAGAAAACATGACAAGCTTGCCATAGTTTGGGTCATTAGTGGGGGAACAACTGAAATCTTCTCCACCTGATAAAGTAAGTGCAACAGGAGTTTGTGCCATGGAAGATCGGACGTGGATGTTGAGAAGAGATACAGCTACCACACCAAAGGCAATAAAAGCAGCAGCACCAATAGCAACGAGAGCAGAGATGCTGAGTGCAATTTTCCGGTGATTGTGATTCAAAGAGGAGCCATTATTGGAGGAAGAAGAGTTAGGGTTTAGAACAATGGGCTTTGGATGGACAGAAGGGCAGGAGCGGTTGACAACAGAACCACATAGGGATGGATTACCAGCAACAGCTGACAGGGAAATGGTATTGAAGAAACCCCCAACTGGTAGCTCACCTTGCAGGTTGTTATGGGAAATATTGAAGGATACAAGGTTGGAAAGATTTGTCAGCTCCTTCGGTAAGCTTTGAGAGAGGTTGTTGAAAGATAAGTCTGCATATTGGAGGTTGGTTAGGTTTGCAATGGCTGCAGGGACTGGACCAGTGAGGTTGTTATGAGACAGAATTCTGAACAATTCAAGACAAAGAGAGAAAGAGAATTTATTAGAACTAGGATCCTTAATTTACAGTTTGAAATTACAATCACTAAAATATCATCTACAGACAAATGGGAAGAGAAGAATACGATAAAGCAAATGCAGCAATGCAAGAGCACCAGATTTATTGAATATCATATTCTTTCACTGTTCTTTATCAACTCTTCACCCATTTATCTAAGGTTCTAAATCACAAGAATCCAAATATATATATACACTTAAACTGCATCAAGTTTCTGAATTATGCTTTTTTAAGTTGAAGATTCATTCCAAATAGAATAACAAACAATAACAACTACATAAAAGGAACAAGCACCACAAGCACACAAAAAAAAGACTTTCTCAATGAATTCCTACCACCACAAAGACATCAGCTCATACATCTATTGGAGAATTGGGGAATATATGAACACTGAAAATCTAGAATGAGTTTTAGCAGTATAAAAAAACTGGGAAAAGAAAATAAAAGCTCAGCTTCCGGCATCAAATAAAACTCCATATTTCCCATCAATGCCTCAAGTGCCATTGATACATAATCAGTATACAAGAACAATAGACAATGAAATTGTTAGGATGTGATGATTAATGCGTTTCCATCAACATTTTTTTAGGAAAACCAGCTGAAAACTCAAACTCTCAGATCACAGTGGCATCAAACATTTGTAATAGTAGTAGAAAGAATCAGGGAAATATAACTTTTATGTAGCAAAAAAAAAAAAAAAAAAAAAAAAAAAAATATAACTTTTATGTTAGCGAAAAAAAAAAAAAAAAAAAAGAAAAAAACAGTAAAACATGACGAGCAAGATAAGACTTTACAGAGCATGTTAAAGAGGAGAAATTTTGTTATTTGAATTGGAATTTCCCCAGTTATGCAGTTTTCTCCTAATCTCAGGATTCCACTAGTCCAACTAAAAAAAAAAAAAAAAAAAAGAAAAAAACAGTAAAACATACGAGCAAGATAAGACTTACAGAGATGTTAAAGAGGAGAAATTTTGTATTTGAATTGGAATTTTCCCAGTTATGCAGTTGTTCTCTAATCTCAGTTCCACTAGTCCAACTGCTCCTCCAATTTCGGAAGGAATTCTTCCATTTAGCTTATTATCACTCAAATCAAGAACTTGCAACATTTTTAACTCTCCTATACTTGATGGGATAGAACCAAAGAGTCGGTTTCTGGATACATTCAAGACCAGCAAACTGCTAAGGTTCCCAATATCGAATGGAATTTCACCAGATAAGACATTTGATGATAGGTCCAAGACCTTAAGACCTTCAGTAGAGGCTTCCAAGGAGGTAACTGAAGGATATTGCATACTCTTACTGAGGCTGTTCCCAGAAAGTGAGATACTTTTTAAACCCGTCTTGACAACCCATGGAGGAAGATTACCAGTCAATCGATTCTGGCTTACATCAAGAACCAAAAGGTTAGGACAATTAGCCATTGATTCTGGTAACCCTCCTGTAAGATGGTTCACAGACAGATTCAATTCCTTCAGTAAGTTAAGGTTACCTATTGAAGCTGGAACTCGACCCAAAAAATTATTAGCAGAAAGATCCAAACGCTCGAGATTTGTTAATTCACCAATCCACGCAGGAACTTCACCTGCAAATAAATTCCCTCTTAATCTAAGAGAAGTACAAGACCTAAGTCTCCGCAACGACTCTGGAAGGTTACCAGACAGAGAATTCTCACTAAAATCAAGAATTTTCAAAAGCACACAACCTCCAATATCTACTGGAAGCTCTCCAGAGAACTTGTTCTTCTGCAAATTAATAGCTATCAAATCATATAAATTTGCAATCCCTTCAGGAATCTCTCCCTCCAACAAATTATCAGATAAATCAAGGGATTGAAGGCCCCTCAAAAACCATAATCCGGATGGTAATTCCCCAGAAAGCTTATTAGACGACAAATTAATTGCTGCCAATGTAGTACACCAGCTCAAAGATTCAGGAATCTGCCCTGAAAGATTGTTTCTAGCAAATGAAACTGATCTCAACGACCCACATTGCTTAAAAAATCCATCAGGGATAATACCTGAGAGATTGTTATGACTCAAGTCGATAACTTGCAAACCCCCAAGCTGAGCAAGATCAGGGTTTATATTACCAGTGAAATTGTTGTTTGACAGTGAAAGAATCTCAAGAAATTGCAGCCTTATCAGGCCACGGCCAATGTGCCCAGAAAGAGAGAAGCCATCAAGGACCAATTCAGTCACTCTCTGGGTTTTAGGGTCGCATTTGACACCAACCCAGTTACAAGGATTTTCGTCCTCTTCATTCCATGAAGTAAGTTTAGACTCTGGGTCCTGCAGACCAGCCTTGAAAACTATTAACCCAAGAACATCATCGTTGAAAGATGGGTCTAAGGACTTTACAAAAACAGGAACTAGTAGAAGAAGAAGAAAAACGAAGTAGTTGAATAACATCATCTTCTTCAATTTCATATTCAAAACAATTTCTGCTAAAAAAGGAAGGCCTTCATGAAAAATTTAAAAAAGAAAAAACGCTACTGCATAAAAAGGCTAAGCCATATGGACAAACCATGATGGGAATAAATCACAACAATAAAGAGAGAGGAAGCTTCACATGTAAAATGATATGGAGGTTACAACTAACAATAAAGAGAAAAAATATATATATATTTTTTATTTTCTGAATAGTTTGAATCTAAAATTAGAGAATAGAAGGTGAGAATAGTGAAGCGCTGAAGGTGCTGCAACAGCAGGGAGAGGACACACGAAACAGAGCTTTTCTTTTCAAAAAAAAAATAAAAATAATAAACTTAAAAAACAAATGATTGAAGATCAAACTAGTTACAGGACCAACAACCCGAAGAGAGATATTCGAAAAGACAATGGGTTAAGTTTTGGAGTAAAGGAATAAAACAAACAAAATCCACAGGAAACCCACTTTCCTCTTTCCACTGTAGTTTCTGTTTCCGATTCTTTATTTTGAAATTAAAAAAAAACCAATAAATAAAAAAAATTAGAAATACTCACTGGTACTAAAAGCAAACCTATACTGATCTTCCCACAAACTAACTCGCATTAATGTGGAAGAACCCTATAACACCCGCCAATTTTTTATTTTTATAAATAAAATAAAAATGAAAAGGAAACTGTAACACTTGAAGGGAAGAGTTGAGATTAAGAAGGTTAAAAAATTGGAAAGAATTTGAGGTAGCAAGAAAAATGAGTGAGGGAAAGAATCGAGGCGGAGAGTTCGCCGGAAAAGCAGCGAGAGAGGCGGGGGAGTAAGGTTTTAGAGATTGGAAACCCCATAAGGCATTAATGATGGAGTCAGAGGAATAAAAATAATAATGGGTATGGATGTGGGTGATTGGCAGTAGCGGAGGAAGGAGATGGAGGAAGTGGAAGAAATTTAAAGAGTATAAGTAGTAAATGAAGAAGAAGAAGAAACAGAGGAGCGAAGTGCTCAAAAGCTTTTCTTTTCTTCTTAAAAACTGCGATACACTGAGACTCTCTCCCACTCTCTAATTTTGGTTTTTATTTATTTTTTGGTCAAAGGAGAATCCGATGTGTGATCTACGTGGCATTTCTCACGCTTTTTTAATTACTCCCTGGGCCATCCAAACTAGGGGACTAGGGCGAGGGGTTTTGTTATTTTATTTATTTATTTTACAATTAAACAGCATACTGAATCCCATTCAAGTTGAAAGGAAGAAAAAACAAAAAAGAAACTGAGAATAATTATTTGATTTAATTACATATATAATTGAATAAGGGTAGTTTTTGTTATTAGAAAAAATTTTTACTTTCAATTCAATAATTTTTTTATATCAAACTAGCCACTTTTTTTATTAGTAATCAAAACCAAATCTTACTTTAATATTTAAAATTTATTTTAAACGTTATATTCTAATATTATTGATTTTCTTGCTAATATAAAAAATGAGATATTTTAAATTTAGATATTTTTATCAATTTAATAAATAAAAAAAAATTATAATCTATTTTAATATTTCGTCTCATCTAATAATTCCGTTAAATAGAAAATTTTGAAAAATTTAAAACCAATACGAGCCTGTAGGCGACCGGAACTCGGCAAGCAATAATGGGATTGAAGAGCACTAGACAATGTCATTCATTACTTACATATAACTTAAATTGCAAGCAAAAAAAATGGCGTGTCAAGCTCAAACACAAAACTGAGATATTTTTTTTTTTTTTTTCTGGGAAAATGAAAATCGAAGACTTGAGCGTTGGACAAACGGTAAGTGAGATACTTAAAAATAAAAATAAAAATAAAAATAAAAAGACAGTAAAACGACAACGCCCTGCACTGTCTGTCACTGCATACCTTTTACATTGTTCTGTCGTTTTCTAAGACATAAACAAATGAATATAACATATAATAATTTTTACTGCTCCTGTCTGAACTCATGTGTTGAAGTTTTCACCTCCATTTGGCCAAATTGGTCTTGTCTTTTCTTAATACTCAAGTAAAAATAAACCTTTCTTCAGTTCAAGAACTGGAAGCAAACTTCACCTACTTCTGGGGGACTTGACTTGTGGATCCAATCCTCATTTTTTTTTACTTTTTCCCCTTTTTGGTCAATGATTAATTTAAACTCACTATTTTTATGCTTTTATTTTCTTTTTCTTTTTCTTTTTCTCTTTTTTCAGTTCCCACTTACCACAGACACTGATTAATTAATTAATTAATTCTCTTATCGATATGATTTTTTTTATAGAAAATATAAAATTTGGTTTGTCGGGGACAGATGAGTGGCGTAAATGGCGGTCCACCGCGCTTTGTCTATCTCTCTGTTGCAAAAAATGCAAATCTCCCGTAGAAGTCTATAAATTCATATTTAGTTTAGTCCAGATTTATGTAGTCAAATTCCTTTGGTTGTAATTTGTTAGCAAAAGTCTATAAGTTTGCAACAACTTGATTGATTAATGTAATAGAGATATTACAAATAAATAACAGTTATTTATTTTGTTTATTATATAAAAAATTCCTGTTTTTAAATTTTAAGTCTCCATTTATTTTTGGAACTTAATTTGTCTACAAAAATATTTTTAGACTTTTCAATATTTGAAATGTTTAGAAAAATCACTCAACAAAAAATATTTTCGGGTCAATAAAACAAAACATTTTTCAAATACTATAAATTTATTTTAACTATATAATATTAATTTATTAATTATTGATAGTCATCACCATATATTATAACCGGCTTATATCGGCCACCACTATCAATAATTTCTTTAATTAGGTAAAAGGTAAATAAATTTTTTTAGCTACAATTATACGAATATTTATAATACATGATATCATTTTTAATAAATTATATTTAAAAAATCTAGATCTTATTATGGTACCAAAATAAGAAACCACTGGATTACAAGATTCAATCTCTAAGGTAAAAAATATAAGAATATTTTTTATATTTCTAATTTCTAATAAATTATAATTTAGGTGTAAGTAGTTTTATTTTTTGAAAATGGTGTAGGACGACAAACAGCCCAATAAAGGGAAAAGGGTCCGAGTTGTTATTAGTCTACCGGTCACCAGGCCCAAGTAGCTTGGGCCATCTGGAAAGTTTGAATTTGTGAAATTTTAAATGGCTTCAGCTAAATTGCAACCTTACATAGACATGAAGCCCATCATGCGGTATTATGCTTTTGAGTCAATTTACAAACGGACCTTGAATTTTTTATTTCAGTAAAGTTTATGCAATTTCTATTTAGTTAAAAGCAATTTGACATGTGCAGATATTCAAAGGAAATATTTTAAGGCAAAAAAAAAAAAGAAGCAAATTGGCATGTTAAGCCATCCTTTGAGTTAAAAGAAAAGAAAGCAAAAAAAGATGGAGTTTAGCTTGTTACTCTCATATATGCATCTAATCCTTTTCTTGGCTTTTGCATCCACAATTAGGAATATTTGGAAAATTGACATGAACTCTTCTCTTACATTTAATCATATAATTTTTTGCATTTTTTCAATATAATATCTAATTTCATGAATTACTAATTCACATATACATAAGAAAATTTAATTTGACAAGAAAATATAAACAAATAAACCTTATCAAACCAAAAGCACAATTTATAAGACCATGATTAAATAAAATATCATATTATAAGTTGTAATTGAATTATGAAAAATTAAAATACACCATTCTTGTATTTTTGTCGGCAGAAAAATGAATCACTTCTCTTACACTACTAGACTTCACAGAAAACATAACCACGTATCCATCATCGATGTTTTAAGCCTCAAATTTGCAAAAAAACCCTCTAAAATGAACGTCATGTAAAAGCATCATTATATATATTGTAATTGTTAAGCGTCATTGTATATTGTAAGAATAATTAGAGAGACATGAAAGAGAAAATAATACGTTTCTTTCCTAATTTCATACATGCAAGAAAGAAAGATTATTTGAGAGCAAAAGAGAGAAAAGGGAAGATTAACAATTAGAATTAAGAATGAGAGAAAAATTAGGTGAAATTTAATTAAGGAGCGAAGATGATTGGTTGTATTTTGTACATCTATAAAATATTGTATGTCACACAAAAGTCACCAATTTCCATAACAACAATAAATTTTATCTAATTTATGTATAATTATTATTAAAGAAGAGAGAAATTGGAGGAGGGAGCTCTATTTCTATTCAAAAGTTTTTTTTTTTTTTTTTTTTTATTAGGGTGAAATTTAATTCAAGGAGGCGAAGATGATTGTTGATATTGTTGTACATCTATAAAAATATTGTATGTCACACAAAAGTCACCAATTTCCATAACAAACAATAATTTATCTGAATTTATGTATAATTATTATTAAAGCAGAGAGAAATTGGAGGAGGGAGCTCTATTCTCTATTCAAACAGTGTTTTTTTTTTTTTTTTTTTTTTTCAAAATTAGTTTAAAAATTAAATACTGAAACACCAGAGATTTTCATGATGTTCTGGTTCAGTTCCATCAAACGAAAGCTTAACGATTCTCCTTATATATTAATGATGATATGTTATGTACAATAGTAATAAATTAAGAAAGGGAAAGGCCCATTTAAGTAAATTTCTACCAGTTTCGAATTATAACCATATACAGCAGATATCCACATTTCATAGATTAAAGTCTTTGTTTATTTTGGTAGAAAAATAACTTCCCTATCTCCCGACTTCATATTTTTATTTTCTAAATATGATATATATATATATGTAGGTATATATATATATATTTAAATGATATATTTAAATGATTAAAACATTAATTTATAAAATTATAAAATTTACTATAAAACTAAAAGCAATAAAAAATGATAAATAGTTGTGATGTATATATCAATTATTAGTCGCAGTGGATAAGCATTCATAATTTTTAGTGGATTGAAATGGCTGCTTTTGGTGACAATTATCATACATCAATCTTTATATTATTCTTTTGTTTACATTTTATCAATCATACTTTATAAATTATTTTTATCTAAAATTATTTGTATTAAAGAATATTAATTAAGTTTATTTTATGTTTATATCTTCTGAAAT